CCTACCCCTCCTCCTCCTGCTCCTCAGCCTCCTCTTACCTACCCCTCCTCCCTCCTCTTCCTCAGCCTCCTCTCTTACCTACCCCTCCTCCTCCTGCTCCTCAGCCTCCTCTCTTACCTAGCCCCTTCTCCCTCCTAATCTTTTTGCTTTCTGTCTCCTTGGCAGCCTCTGGCAAATCACATTGCCCTTTCACATGGCAAAATCAGAGGGACAAGAGAGCATCATCTGCCTCCCTCTCCAATGAATCAATGAGCAGTCAGTCACATGGATTGAGCATCTACTACCTTCTCCGGGCTGTGAAAGGCACAACTCAGCGGGCACTTGCTCCAGGCCCCACGGTAGGTCAGGAGAAAAGTCAGGCCAGGACCTGGGTCTCCTGACTCCTAGACAATGTCCCCTCTCCTCTTCCTGGCCCTGGGCTGCCTTTTTCTCTCTCTCTGGATTTAATCACTTCCCACTGGATTCCCTGGCCCTGAAGCCTATGCAGGTCCGGAGGCTGGTGGGTCCCAGGCCTGTGAGCGAGTAAAGGAGGGGCCTGCTGCCCAGTGGGAGGAGCAGGGGCTCTGGAGTCAGTCCGACCTGGGTGCCATTCCGACTGCCACTCAGGGCTGTGTGACCTCGGGTAAGTCACCTAACCTCTCTGGGCCTCAGTCCCCTGGTCTCTGTGATGCGGATAACAGTATCTACTTTGTATGAGCATCAGTATCTACTTTGTGTGATAAGGACAATGATATCTACTGTGCAGGGTTGGTGTGATGATTAGCAAAAATGTTTTTAAAGTGCTTGGCCCCTCATGGAAACACTGGTGGCGCAGTGGTTAAGAGCTACGGCTGCTAACCAAAGGGTCGGCAGTTCAAATCCACCAGGCGCTCCTTGGAAACCCTCTGGGGCAGTTCTCCTCTGTCCTATAGGCTCGCTATGAGTCGGAATCAACTCGATGGCAATGGGTATGGTATGGGTATGGCCCATCGCAGGAATTCAATAAAGAGCAGCTGCTACGATTATCATCCATGGTAATTACAACGGTACTAACGACAGGTCTCGGAACAGCTGTGGGCACCCCAGGGGTGCTGTTATGACTCACATTTGGGGAAGATGTGGCTGCTGTCTTCCTGCTCACAAATACCTGGGGTGGGGGGACACATTACAAGAGAAATAAATGGCTTTACAGCATGAATGTGCACACACACACACACACTCACTCTTATGCACACACACTCATACACACACACACACACACACACACACACACACACACACACGTCAGAAAAGCCTAACCAAACACACCGGCCCTGACACATATTCAACTCTATTCCGTGAAAACTTGAACTGGCAGTTGCATTCTTGGAAAAGTTGAAAGGAATGACCGGTCCCGGCCAACCGCCCACAGCGTGCTGGGGAGACGTCAGCCCGCGTGTCTGGGCTCTCCCGGTCGCTGTGCGGAGTGAGCACGCGGCGCGCTGGGGAGAAGGACGAGCCGGCCGGGTAGGTGGGCCCGGAGAATTCCCGCCCGTAAGAACCAGACAGTGTGATCTTCTAGCTCCTCCCACAGAAAGCCCAAGGGGTTTAGGGCATTCCGGTTTAGCATCGAGTGATTAGAATTCTAAACTTTTACCTTGTTTTAACACGTGAATGAAATTTAACAACAAATAAACTCATTAATGAATTCAAATTATCCCGATCTAAAAACACATTTTTGGGTAAATTACAGTTTTTGAAAACAGTATCATGACAAGATCATTTTTTCCCTAAATTTGGCTTTTCCCTTCATGTCCACTAGGTGGCACAATGGGACCACCGCGGATGCTGCTAGTTCACAGCCGCTCTCCCACCGCTGATTACAAGACCAAAAAACCAACCCCGATGCATTCGGTGCAGTCGAGTAACTCCGACTCTTAGTGACCCTACAGGACAGAGAACGGCCCCAAAGCGTTTCCAGGGAGCAGCTGGGGGATTCAAACTGCCCCACCAGGGCTCCTACAGATTTACAGGCAAACTGTATTTTTGTTTTTCTTCAGACTAGATTTTTCTCTCTTCCTTACAATTATGCACATCTTTTTTTAGGACATCTCTATCACATGAACTAAAATACACAAGTACTGCTTGGGTACACGGTTTTCCTTTCGGGCATGGAGAAGTATCTTACAATAGCGCCTAACGCCTGGACTTTCCCCCACTTGCCCTGGAGGAACAAATGTTTAGTGGGTATGTAATTAGCAATGACAGTGTTCTCACAGCGATCTAGGCTCTAGGCCAAGGGCTTCATCCAACCCTCACAGCAAGTCTATACAGTATTACCTCCATTTTGTAGAATAAATCATAAAAAGCATGTGAGCACAAAGACGCTAAGCAATTTATCCACAGAGATGGAGCCTATGCTCCTAACCATGGCTTAGTGGGAGAATTCTCGCCTTCCATGCAGGAGACCTGGGTTCAATTCCCAGCCAATGCACCTCATGCGCAGCCACCACCCATCTGTCAGTGGAGGCTCGTGCGCTGCTGTGATGCTCAGCAGGTTTCAACAGAGCTGTCACACTAAGACAGACTAGGAAGAAAGGCCTGGTGATCTACCTCCAAAAATCAGTCAATGAAAACCCTATGGATCACAACGGTCTGATCGCCCACTGATCACGGGGATGGTGCAGGACAGCTGCAGGGTTTAGTTCCGTTTGGCATGGGGTCGCCGTGAGTCGGAACCAACTTGCTGGCAGCCACCACCAGCAACAATGCTACCAATGGCGTTCCTTCTTTGCCTCGTAGGGGCTGAAGCGCAGGGTCACTTTCTGCCAGCCCCATCCCAGTAGTGCTACAGAAGTCACAACAGGAATGGTCTCCAGGATGTTTCCAGGGGTACTAGGCTAGGTTACGATCTTTTGCTTGGTGGGCCAGACTGTGAACGTTACATCGGTATCTAAAGTCTGCACTTTCTGTGCAAACCTGACCGTGGCCAGGAGGAATCCAATCACTCCTAAGCATTCAGATTCCATGCATTCCCAGGTACATTTTCTGCTGTCAAAGTCCCCACCGACTCACAGAGCTGTCTGAGCTTGCTGTTAGACTCTCAGGGTTGCCAGGAGCTGAGGCCAAGAACATGCACCACTGGGAACACATCCCATCAGCTGCCCTCACATGTTCTGGGTTGGAATAAGCCCAAAGCAGGTGGGTGCAGGGCAGAACAACAAGATGTGTCTCGTTGAGCTCAGCCCAAGTCTTGCCCATTTCATCAGAGATTTGATGAGAATTTTTCAAGAAGACTGAAGTATAAAGCTCCAAAACTGTGTGTGTAGTTTGAATTTTCTTTAAAAACATCAAGCATTTTTATAGGTAAAAAATATGGGAGAAACTACCAACCGTGGTCATCTGTGGTTACATCTGATTTGCATTTTTATCTGTGCTGCTCTGTATATTCTAATTTTTTGACGCTCTATGGAAAAGGAAACTTAAAATAGTTAAAACCAATGAGTCATCAGTCCGCTTGGTTGTTTGGCGCTGATGTTTTCTGATGGGTGTAAGGCAAGATACAAAGATCCTCTTTTTTTTTTTTTAGGTCCTCATATTTTGGGCTCAGTTTCTGGATGGTGCAAATAGTTAACACACTCAGCTGCTAACTGAAAGGCTGGAGGTTCAAGTCCACCCAGAAGCTCCTAGGAGGAAAGGCCTGGCAATCTACTTCTGAAAAATCAGCCACTGAAAACCCTATGGAGCACAGTTCTCCTCTGACACACATGGGGTCACCATGAGTTGGAGTGAACTTGATGGCAACCTGTTTCCCTGGTCAGGTGGTGCTGTAATTCGATCCTAGCTGTTGTTATGGTGGAGGGCCGGGAGGGGAGGTGGGGGCTCACTCTGAGAAGGGCAGACATTGCCTTGTACACCTCATCTGGAGCTTCTGCATAGTCCTCAGGGGTGAGGAGGGGGAAAGGGCCACTTCTGCCAGCCCAGGAGGTTCCAGGGCATGTGCCCAGATATCCTCATCCCAAGTTTTGGGATCCCACTTCTTCCCTAGAAGGGCCTGATTTGCTTGTTGATCTCCAGGCACAAAAACCAAACCAAACCAAACCCACTGCTGTCGAGTCGATTCCGACTCACAGCGACCCTACAGGACAGAGCAGAACTGCCCCAAAGAGTTTCCAAGGAGCGGCTGGTGGATTCGAACTGCCGACCTTGTGGTTAGCAGCCGAGCTCGTAAGAGAGGGGTTCTGAACATGGGCAAGGAGACCCCCTGACACTCACACTGTGCTTCGAATTGGTGGCGAGCAGATCTGAGCCTGCCGCTTTCACACCTCAGTGCCCCAATGACATGGAGCAACAGCCGCCCAATCTTACGGTCTTCACGGGCAGTACTTTCCCCAAACCTCTCAAGCGCGAGAAACACGGCACCAGCTGGTACCTGTCCGTCTGTTTTACGTGTCCCCGTTCACCACAGGTGAAAAGTCTTCACAACTGAGCGGCTACAGCAGGCCAAGGACCAGATGCCAACACTCCACCTCCCACCAGTGAGGGGGCCCTCATGGCTATTTGGCCAGCAAGTGACCCTACAGCAGAGCCCCAATCTTTCTAGGCCCTTTCCTGGCACGAACTTACATGCTGAGGTTCTCTATAGCAGATCGTGCAGACAATTTCCTGGGAGAAGGCTTTCCGACGAAGCTGTAAGGTAGTGAGGGCAGAAGAGAGGGCACGGAAGAAGCCAGGTATAGATGTGGGGTCAGCTGAAGTCTAGCCCGACCCCCTGGGAAACTCCAGAGCGTGGATGGCACCACAGATGACCCTTCTTGAGACAGAGGGGCTGGTTTTGCTCCCTAGCAAGGTGTGTGCATGTGTACATGTGTACACACACACACAAAGTCAACAACCAAGCCGAGACTAAAAACCCCATAAACCCCAAACCCACGTGCTGCAGTGGAGAACTGCTCCATGGTATTGTCTCGGTTGCAATCTTTACAGAAGCAGATCACCAGGGCCTTTCTTCCACGGCAGCGCTGGGTGGGTTTGAACCACCAATCTTTAGGTTAGTAGTTGAGTGCAAGCTATTTGTGCCACCCAGGGACCTTAAGCCCAGACTAGGACACGGTTCACTCAATGTCATCCATTGTTTCTGCTCACCCCATGCTTTTTGGGTCTATGACCTTGAATTAGCCGGCTGGAGAAAGAAGGAAGAAAAGAAAGGCACCTAGACATCCACATCGTTGTTTTGGGTGAAGAAGGAGTTATGCTGGTGTTGTTAGGTGCCAGCGAGTCGGTTCCGACTCATAGTGACCCCACGTACAACAGGACAAAAACGCTGTCCACCCTGCGCCATCCTCAAATCGTTGCTACGTTTGAGCCCATCGTTGCAGCCACTGTGTCAACCCACCTTGTCCACAGTCTTCTCCTTTTCGGCTGACCTTCAATTGGCTCATACCTGCTGCTGAGCACATTTGTAGACAGCACCAATGTCGACCTCTCTGTCCTCAAGCAAATAGTCTTTTTTTTTTTTTAAATAAATTACTTTGTTGTTGTTGTTAAAAATAGATACACAGCAAAACATACATCAATTCAACAATTTTTTTTATGTGTGAACATTTTATTGTGCGTTAGGTAGAGGTTTACAAGCAAATTATCTTCCCATTCAATAATTTATATACAAATTGTTCCGTGATATTGGTTACAATCCCCACAATGTGTCAGCACTCTCCCCATTACAACCCTGAGTTCCCCGTTTCCATTCGTCTGGTTTCCCTGCGCCTTCCTGCCTTCTCGTCTTTGCTTTTGGCCAGATGTTGCCCTTTCGGTCTCATACAGGCGATTGTTTTAAGGAGCACTTTCCTTATGGGTGTTATTGTTTATTTTATAGGCCTCTCTATTATTTGGCTGAAGGGTTTTCTTCAGGAGTGGCTTCAGTTCCAAGTTAGCAGGGTGTCTGGGGGCCATAGTCTTGGGGGTTCCTCCAGTCTCTTTTGGACCAGTAAGTCTGGTCTTTTTTTTTTTTTTTTATGAATCTGAATTTTGTTTCTACGTTTTCCTCTTCACTCTAACTGGGGCCTTCTATTGCTGTCCCAGTCAGAGTGGTCGGCAGTGGTAGCCGGGCACCATCTAGTTCTTCTGGTCTCAGGCTCGTGGAGGCTGTGGTTCCTCTGGTCCATTAGTCCTCTGGACTGATTGCTTTCTGGAGTCTTTGGTTTTCTTCAGTCTCCTTTGCTCCGGATGGAAAGAAACAAATAGTTGTATCCTGGATGGCTGCTTGCAAGCTTTTAAGACCACAGACGCTACTCTCCAAAGTAGGATGTAGAGCACTGTCTTTATGAACTATGTTATGCCAGCTGACCTAGATGTCTCAAGAGACTGCAGTCCTTAGCCTTCAAGCCTAGTGACTCAGTCCCGTGAGGTGTCTAGTTATGTCTAGAAGTTTCCGTGATTGTGTACCCTGTGTGCTGCATTTTATATATGAATATACACGAGGCACATACAAATGCATACGTAGAAATATCCAAAGCCAAACCTATGTATGCACGTGGCTGTACTCCCATGCAAATAGTCTTTTAAAGGTAGCTCTGTAAGGGGTAGTTGGCACACGAAAAAAGGAGTTAAATGCCTCAAGACCAAAAGATACTTCATCACTTGACAAGGTTGGATAGGCTCCATTTTCTGGTAGTCCCTAAGCGTCGTCTGTTAAACAAACAACCACCAGGTTGACAATGGAAGTCTCAACACATATCTCGCTCTTCCGCAGGATCTGGTGCTCAGAGGTCTCCCTTCACTTCGAGTTTTTCAACACAGGAAGGGAAGCTGGGATACGACTTGACTGATGTAATCACAGGCAGTGTTGTGGGGCAGGGGCAAGACCAGTCATTTAGGAGATGAAAACATGGTTTTAAAGGCTGTCCGTTAGCCTTTTTAGTTTCCTTTCAGTTTCTCATAAGCCAATCCAAGCAAGGTCTCCACAGGAAAACAAAACACACAAACCTCCCGCCTCCCAGAGGCCCTGCTATGTCCCATACCAGGAAGAAAAAGGCTCGGGGACTACATTCTGTGGACTCTCACCAGTCAAGAACTTTCTCAAGTCTTACTTTCTCTGGTCTGTACTAGGAAGAAAATAGGTCATTTTTCATTTTCCAAACGTAGAATTTTACCACACGCACACACACCCTAATTGAGAATCATGGCCTTATTAAATGGCATGGCTATTAATATTTGCTGACCAAGACTGAGCATCCAATTTCTTAATTCTATGACCCTCTTCCTGTGTAATTTGCCATTTCATGCTCATTAGCATCCAAGGGTCTAGAAACCCAAGGAGGAGACTTACGTTGGTTAGCCTGGTTCTGAGGTGGGGGGTGGGGGGTCTGTGACTATGTTTGTCCAATGACTTTTTGTACTTTATAGGTGCTCAATAAATGCATTTGAAACGAAATCCAGTCACGTATGCACCTGGAGACATGCTTCATGTCTCACCAAATGAATCTCCTAAAAGTCCAAAACCCAAACCCAAACCTCTAATACTAAACCCCCAAGGCTTTCATTATGGGCGGCGGTAAAAGCAGAAAGTAGGCGGCCTTTTGGAAAGATAATCTTTCATTTAAATAGTCAAAGCAAGAAACAAAACCATAAAACCCATTGCCATCAAGTCGGTTTCAACTCATAGTGACCCTGTAGGACAGAGTAGAACTGCCCCATAAGGTTTCCAAGGGGTGGCTGGTGGATTTGAACTGCCGACCTTTGGGTGAGCAGCCGAGCTCTTAACCACTGTGCCACCAGGGCTCCTGAAGCAAGAAAAGATGATAAGAAAAATAGATATTCAAAGCCCTATCAACACAACCTACTATTATGTCATTAAAACACAAAACATAAAAACGCCTCCACACCTCTTTTTTTGACCCCAGCCTCAATTCTGCCCACAGGAACAGTGAGGCACAAAGGGTAGAGCTGAAGTTCTGTGGTGAAGCCCCCGGATGGCGAACGCCTACCGTTTCCACGGGAAGCTCTGGGAGGAGGTGAAATCCATAAATCCCGGAGAGAGCACGAAATGAGTGTCACACCCAGTGTCCTTGTCCCAAAGCACAGCCGCCCCGGCAGTGCACATATTCCTACCTGTCATTTCCTTACGGGGACAGTTCTTCTAAGGGGGAGTTACCTTTCCATGTGAGGAGTTTGTTCTTCATTTAAATTCTGGTCTAATTATATCTACACAAATGAACAGCAGAAACCTGATTTTATACTCTACAGTATAAAAAAGGAGCCCTCTTGGCACAAATGGTTAAATGATCGCTGCTAACCGAAAGGTTGGCAGGTCAAACCCACCCAGTGGCTCCTCAGGAGAGGACCTGGAGACTTGCTCCTGTAAAGATTACAGCCAAGAAAACCCTATGGGGGCAGTTCTACTCTGTCACATGGGGTCGTTATGAGTCACACTTGACTGGATGGCACCTACCAACAACCAAAAACCAAAACCCACTGCTGTCAAGTCGATTCCGATTCATAGTGACCCTACAGGACAGAGCAGAACTGTCCCCATAGGGTTTCCAAGGCTGTAATCTTTATAGAAGCAGACTGACACATCTTTCTCCCGTGGAGCAGCTAGGTGGGTTCAAACTGCCAATCTCTGGGTTAGCAGGCAAGCGTTTAACCACTGAGCCACCAAGGTTCCTTCTAACAACCACAGTTGGTATAAATGCTTTACTTTTTCTTCCACTCACAATTAAGGAAGGGCTAAGGCTCAAGTGATGGCTTCCTGGGTTCTAAGCAGCAGGTATCACCCTACTGCTTCCACGCTTCACTCTCCCACTGGTGCCCACCTTTGATCCCACAGGTGCTGACGTCTAGGTCCTCCTTGCTGCTGGCAGCTCTTTCCATATTTTCAATCCAAGATACAAATTCTACTCCACTGTCTTTGCTTTAGAAAAATATCCATGGGCAAGGCATTACTGGAAAGAATGGCCCTTCAGTTGGAGGTCTGCCCTGGCTCTGCAGAGTCAGAGGCATTCAACAGGCAGTGGGTAAGGGTCACCACTTACTGGATTAAATGGTTAACTTCTAACAGGCTTGCAGACCTTAAAATGGAGAGACAAGGAAGAGGGGTAATCCACTTCCAGCTTTTCACTTCTCAAAAACTCTTCCACTATCGCTCCCAGCTTCCATCTTTCCTAGCCTGACATTCCAACTGTTACTGTCACTCTTTCGGGTTGGATTAGTTCGATGAGTGAACACAGTGCTAGGCACTGGAGGTCCAAAGATGAATAAACTGCGCCCTGAGCTAAACCGCATCACCCCCAGGCTTTGCTGGCTGAGTAGTTTGCTAGCCTGATTGGATTATTCAATGAGTTCCTTCATTTGTTTATTCATTAAACATTTACTGATCAGCCGTACAAGTGCCAGGTACAACAGGAGACCTGAGGGAAGCTAACCTGATAAGGGACCTCCACGCCTAAAGGAACTCATAGTCGAGCAGGGAGAGAAACTTGAACACATCATAAAATTATAGTATAGCATGTTAAACGCTGTAATAGAGATATTCCGTAAGAGCATGGGTGCAGAGAGGAGAGAGAGACTCAGCTGTCCTCCAGAGCCTCACTTCTTCCCACCTCCACCATCTCTTTGGGTGACGGCCTTGGGTGGCTCCATCAGAATTAGGCCAAAGGAGCCTAGGAAAAGGAAGCGGGCTTCTGTACTGGGACTGGGTCACGGTCTACGGGCTTATCCAACAAGCATTTACCGGGTATCTCCTGAGTGTCTTGGACAGGGAGAAGAATGGGGGCTAGAGTTCCTAAGTGGGCAGGAACAGGTGGGGTAAGGCGCCCCTGTGAGGACTCAGTCCGGGAAAGACGTGTGAGTGCGCCTTGCTCTGAGACAGGAAGGAATGAGGAGGGAAAGAGGGACTATGAGGAGAGCTCCGCGTGGAGTGAGGCCAGCCAGCCCGAGACAGCACATTTGTCTACTCAGCAAAGCAGGGCGCAGGGCAGCCTCCTGAGAATAGGAGTCCAACTGGAGGTCCTTTTGTGAAAACTCAAGACAACAGCCAGAAGCCAGGGCATTTAAGGGAGGTTTCTAAATGCCATGTCGGACCCCAATGCAATACAGTGAGCAGCGCTAGAAGAGATTTCCCAGGTTGGCAGTGGGGATAAACCAAACCCACCGCCGTCGAGTCCATTCTGGCTCACAGTGACCCTACAGGACGGAGGACAACTGCTTCACAGGGTTTCCAAGGCTGTAATCTTTACAGAAACAGACTACCGCCATCTTTCTCCCATGGAGCGGCTGATGGGTTCGAACCGTTGTCGACTTTTTGCTCGGCAGCCGAGCGCTTTAACCGCTGTGCCACCAGGACTCCTGGCAGCAAGGATAGAGAACTGATATATGTATATTTTTTTATTGTACTTCAGGTGAAGGCTTGCAGAACAAATAGTTTCTCATGAAACAGTAGTACACATGTTGTTGTATGACTGGTTAACAACCCCACGACATGTCAATATTCTCCCTTCTCGACCTTGGAGGAACTTTTTTTTTTTGGTGAGAATATACATAGCCAAAGATACACCATTTCAAAAATTTCTACATGCACAGTTCAGTGACATTGACTACGCTCTTCCAATTGTGCTGTTATTCTCACTTAAGATGAAGGCTTACAGAACAAGATAGTTTCTCATTTTGAAAAACTGGAAATCTCTTGTAATAAGCCAAGGGTTTAAAAAAAAAACAATCAATGTCATCACGTAGGATCAATGTGAACTATCTGTAGCAGCAGGCACTTTAAAAAGAAAAAAACACAACAGCATTAACCACGTACTTGCTTCAAACTGTCAGTTCCCTTGGCCTGGAAACCAAAATCAAAACCAAACCAAACCATCAGCGCTCTTCAACTGAAGCCAGTCTGAACTGCTTTTACATACGCACATATACGCCCAAGGACGCACTATAAAAATACATGAGAATGTGTCTGTCTTGGCCTTCTTCTCCTAGGAATTCAGAAGAAGTTGGGTTTTTCCTGGCTCACTTGGTCCTGGCATCCTCTATCACTTCTCCGGCCCATCCTGATGAGTTCCCAGCATGCCTTGCTCCTGAGGCCATCCAAGTTTTGACAGTTAGCTCCATTAATACTAAGTAGGGGATAAACGGTGTGACTTCTAAGAGTTCATTTTTTCCACCTCAGCCCAAACCATATGATTTGGTGAGGAAAAAACCACCAGTCCCTGAGACAGTGGTAAGAATCACAGTCTTTGTCCAGGCGTTGTCCCAGCTATAACACCAGCTGTGGTCTTAATCTCCAGTGGGTCCCCATCGTGTACATCGGTCTGATGTTTGAGGCCTACCTCCCCCTTTCAGTCTCGCTTCCTTCTACTCTATCCATGAACCTTGCCAGCCAGTCTACAACCATCGCGGGACAGGTTCATTCAGAGGCAAGTCAGGGACATTCAAAGGCTCCTGGGTCCACCCTTTATTGCCCACGGGACTGGCCCAGTTGCTATGATGGGACTGGGGCCTTGATTTCCCCACCTCTCCATCTGGTTGTCTGTCAGGACTGGGGATTTATCTGGTGTCCCATCCACCATGCTGCCCTACAAGGCTGCCTGCCAGAGCCCTTCCTGGGGCCTGATCCTCCCCGCAGTCTCCCCAGGCTTCCTGATCCCAAGTGGCCATGCTGCAAATGAAGAGCCTGCCTCTGCAAAACCATAAAACTCTTCAAAACACCAAACCACAGTGCCTGCCCCTCCTTGACTTCTCAGGCTGCGGTGTCCAGCCATTGGATTCACTCTTTTCTCCTCAGCCCAAACTATCAGGCTCGGTGATGCCCTCTGGGACAGTGGCCTCTCCTGCCTGGCTGTCTCCCAGAGGCCCATCTCCACAGCTGGGTTCATCCCCCATCTGCTCCCAGTATCCCTCTGCTCACGTAGAGGCCCATGTCTCTGAGGTCCCATGCCTTGTCCAGAGTGGCCAGAGTTACAATGTCCAACAACCCCCATAGGCTGAACGGTGTTGGGAGGGGGCGTGAGAATGAACGAGATGGTAATGCTGTATGCATCAGAGCTGTGCAAAAGTGCTAGAGGGAGGTGGTTGTTGTGTCCTTGAGTCGATTCCGACCACCCCATAGGGCAGAGTAGAAGAGAGTAGAACTGTCTGACAAGTTTTCCTAGGCTGTAATCTTTACGGGAGCAGATCGTCAGGTCTTTTCTCCTGGAGCTGCTGGTGGTTTCTAACCACCGACCTTTTGGTTGGTAGCTGAGCACTTAACCATTGCACCACCAAGGTTCCTCTAGAGGTAAGGCACTGATATTCGCCATCTTGGAACCTGAGAAACCATCTCCCCCACTGCCTGGATGTCCCAAGGCCGCATTTGCTTCTGTGAGTCTCACCTCTTCCTACGCTCCAGCCTCAGCCCTGGTCTTGCCCTCACTCCACATCCACTTCAGGTCCCCAGAATTCCTAGATCCCTTGCTGTTTCCATCACTCCTTGAGACATTTCACCCGACCAGGCTCAGGAGACCCCGTCCTGCTGCCAAGCAGTCGTGTGAAATTGACCCTGTGTTTGCTTATCTGCAAATGGAGGGACTTGGCTGAACAGCCCCACCTGTCTTATGTTCCAAGGTTTTATGTTCACAGGGTTTTTCTTCTCATCCAAACTATGTCTGGGGTTGGCTTCTGTTTGTTCTCCAGATTTTACATTTGTGTCGCTACCTAGACGTCACAGAGCCAGGCCCTCAGGAGGATGGAGAAACGTGTTTTTAAAAAAACTGTTAGCTGAATAAATGTTACGTCCTCATAACCAACATCTGCCTTTTTTTTTTTTTTTGTGGGGGCAGGGGACGGAGGATTCAGTGAAAATTTAAATTGTAGTCTAAGCTAAACATTGTTAAGATGTCATTTATGACCAAATAGATCTATAGATTTTACCCCATCCCAACCAAATCTCAGCAAGCTTCTTTATAGAAATTGACAAGCTGATTCTAACATACCTATGAAAATGCAAAGGACGTAGAAGAGTCAAGACCAAAGCTGGGAGGCTCACCTGATTTCAGACTTCTCATAAAGCTGCGGGAATCAAACAGTGATGTCAAACAGACAAAAAGATCAATGGAGCAGAAGAGGGAGGCCAGAAACAGATGCACGCACATAAATGGCCACCTGGAGAAGGAACAGTCTTTTCAACAACTGGAGATCAATACGCAAAAATCTGAACTTTGATTCACGCTTCACACCACATACAAAAGTTAACTCAAAATGGATTAGAAACCTAAATGTAAAACTGAAAATTACAAAATGTCTAGAATAAAACATCGGATAAAATCTTTGTGACCTTGGATTAGACAAAGGTTTCTCAGGAACAACACCAAAAACACGATCCATGAAGATTTTTTTAAAATTGTATTTCATCAAAATTAAAATCTTTTGCTCTTCAAAAGATACCATTAAGAGAATGAAAAGATAAGCCACAGAGTGAAAGAAAATATTTGTAAATCGTATATCTAATGAAGGACTTGTATCCAGGATATATTTTTTAAAAACTCTTAAAATGCAATCACAAGAAAATAACGGGCAAAAGATTTGAACAGAGACTTCACCAAGAAGATACATGGGCAGCACAGCAGCTCATGAAAAGATGCTTGACCGTTAGTCATTAGGGAAATGCAAATTAAAAACTCAATGAGATAGCACGACACACCTACTAGGATGTCTAAAGTTGAAGGGGACTGACAAGACCACACGGTGGCGCAACTAAAACTCTCATGCGCTGTTGCGTTGTTAGGTGCTGGTTCCAACTCATAGCGACCCTATGTACTACACAACGAAACACTGCCTGGTCCTGTGTCATGCTCACAACTGTTGTTCTGCTTGAGCCCATTGTTGCAGTCACTGTGTCAATCCATCTTCTCGAGGGTCTTCCTCTTTTTCGCTGACCCTCTACTTTACCCAGCATGATGTCCTTCTCCAGGGACTGATCCCTCCTGATAACATGTCCAAAGTAGGTAAGATGCAGTCTCACCATCGTTCCTTCTAAGGAGCATTCTGCTTGTACTTCCTCCAAGACAGATTTGTTCATTCTATTGGCAGTCCATGGTATATCTGATATTCTTCACCAATACCACAACTCAAAGGTGTCAGTTCTTCTCTGGTCTTCCTTAATCACCATCCAGTTTTTGCATGCATATGAGGCAATTGAAAATACCATGGCTTGGGTCAGGTGCACCTTACTCTTCAAGGTGACATCTTTGCTCTTCAACACTTTAAAAAGGTCTTTTGCAGCAGATTTGCCCAATGCAATGCGTCTTTTGATTTCTTGACTGCTGCTTCCATGGGTGTTGAGGTGTTGATTGTGGATCCAAGTAAAATGAAATCCTTGGCAACTTCAATCTTTTCTCCATTTATCATGATGTTGCTATTGGTCCAGTTGTGAGGATTTTTGTTTTCTTTCTGTTGAGGTGTAATCCATACTGAAGGCTGTGGTCTTTGATCTTCATCAGTAAGTGCTTCAAGTCCTCTTCACTTTCAGCAAGCAAGGCGATCTGCATAACACAGGTTGTTAATGAGTCTTCCTCCAGTCCTGAGGCCCTGTTCTTCTTCCTGTAGCCCAGCTTCTTGGATCATCTGCTCAGCATACAGATTGAATAGGTGTGGTGAAAGGATACAACCCTAACACACCTTTCCTGACTAAACCACACAGTATCCCTTTGTTCTGTCCGAACAACTGCTTCTTGATCCGTGTACAGGTTCCTCATGAGCTCAATTAAGTGTTCCGGAATTCCCATTCTTAACCATGTTATCCATAATTTGTTATGATCCACATAGTCAAATGCCTTTGCATAGTCAATAAAACACAGGTAAGCATCTTTCTGGTATTCTCTGCTTTCAGCCAAGATCCATCTGACATCAGCAATGATATCCCTAGTTCCATGTCCTCTTCTGAATCCGGCCTTTGTTTCTGGCAGTTCCCTGTCAATATACTGCTGCCGCTGCTTTTGAATGATCTTCAGCAAAATTTTACTTGTGTGTGGTATTAATGACATTGTTCGGTAATTTCCACATTCGGTTGGAACATTGTCTGAAAACTTTATGAACAGCAGCGGAACATCATACACTGAAGAATGTAAAAATGGTTCAACTACTTTGGAAAATAGTTTGGCCATTTCTTAAAAAGTTAAACATACACTTATCATGCAGTCTGATCATTAAATCTTAGGTGTTTACCCAAGAGAAATAAAGACATATGTCCACAAAACAAAAACAAAAACTTCTACTCAAATACATATTCCCAGGCAGCAAATCTAGCTATTCTAATTTCACAGTTCTGGGTGGAACCCAGAAATTTGCATTTGTAACAAGCCCATTAAGTCTGATGCACGTCCCTGAACCACCCTTTGAGAAACATGGATCTAAGTGATCAAGCATTTCTAGAGCAACCTAGTGGCTAGAATGTTGTTTCTGGAAAAAACAAGTCATTTTTTTCCTGTCAGAGGTCACTGTGAGCCAGAGTCAACTCGGCGGCAATGGGTGGAGCTGTTACACGTTTCTGTCTCAGGTCTCCAGGACACCTGCAGTCAATTACCATCACACAGTATTAATAGTTCAACAGCAAAAGTCAACCAGAGATTTTTCCAACTTGCCTTTATACAAATTAAAATCAGCTATGTAGTCTTGTTACCCATAGCGTCACTAGAGGGATGTGGATCGTACTGTGTGACACTTTCAGAGAGGGTGACACCAAAATGACTGTCTATAAAATTTCTGTGCAGTGTTTCAGCAGAAATTTATTATTTTTTATAAAAATATCACTGTAGTTAGTTATAAACAACAAAAACACTTTTCATAAGCCCAGCTTACAGGTATCCATATACCTATAAGGCTAAAACTCTATGCTGATTTAGTTTTTGAACCTTCTAATGCCCTCCAGTCAGAGCTGTCATTATTACCCAATTACAGCGATGCTTTGAATCACGTGGTTTTGTCTGCAGGAGCTACAAGCATGCGCTGTTGTTTTGTTGCTGCTGCTGTTTTTACAGTCGCTGATTTTGCCACATTTTCTGGTGTTTTAGCTATAATACCGTGGTATTTGTGAGCTTATATCAATAACTTTTTTGAGAATGAAGTAGTAATTAAAGGAAAAGAAGGAGCGATATAGGGGAATTACAATTTACAGGTAACATTAGTACAAAAAACATTACTAAGGATTCTGTATGGTCTGGTACGGGAGAAGGTCCACGTGAGGGAGGGTGACATTAACCCTAGAGATACCACTGCTTGTTACTATTTCCTGGCAGAGCTCTACAGTTGAAATACAAAAAAAAAAAAGATTTCATTTTTTTGTGGTGAAAGACAAGTAGCATGGTGGTTTTCCTATCACATGTCTTAATTTATCTTTTCCCACATCTTATGATGTATACCCACCACCCCTCACATCCTCCAAGACAGGAAGAGTTTGAGATGGTTGCATTCTTGCTAAGTTTCCAAAGATAAAATCTACCTTTTCATTTTCACACGTTTGTCTTACCACACACACAAATCATTGCCAGAATAAAAGACGGGCGATAGATTTTCCACACGAAACTGGCACTTGTTAACCTCAGCCACATTACCAGACAGAAACACCAGAACTCAGCTGATGCTGCTCGTGTGGAGCTTCTCAACACGTATCCCTGCTGTTATAAGGCTCACTGGCAAAAACACATGTGAAAGGGTGAAGTCTACTCAAAGATGATTTTTAATTATTAAAAGGAGTACCGTGAGTGACATCAGGGAAAATGGCAGTTGGAAAAAAACCTCCAAAAATTAAAAAAAAAGCAAGAAGAAAACTGGCAAAAATGATCAGAAACAACGTTTCAGAACTCTGGAAATTAACCAAAGTCTGATATCAATCTGGAGAGCATTTATTCACAGAGAACTGCTAAACCTCAGTAAGAACAGTGAGCTCTGAGGCATTTCAATTCGCTCTACTCCCATCTCCCACCTCCATCTCCATGTTAACCCTTGAAATCAAGACTGCAATCGTGGTGAAGACAAGTAGGCTGGCAGCCTCAAAAGGGGGCAGAACAGGGTTGGACCTCCTTCAAAGCCTCATTCCTACATAACTGTCATTATTCAACTTGTCTGGGTTTCCCTGGAATACCCAGCTTGTAAGACTGTCTTGGAGCTTACCCAGTGGGTAAATCCTTTTCTCCGGGGCATTTGTCAAAAATGATTAGAAATAAGTTTTATAAATGACTTTTTGATTAATTATTTAATTTTTAATTTTAACTTTTTTATTTAATTCAGTTATTTAACTCCTGAGGCAATGGATGAGTTAGGGCTAAAAAAGGCTAACCAAGAAAAGTTTAAAAGGAAAAGTTTGGGAATGAGATGTCCATAGGGGCTTTGCAAAGCTCTGAAATATTCCTGGGACTCTAGAAGGCCATGTACATATGTATCTTGAAGAAATAATGTGGAAAGCTCCTCAAATTTGATGAAAAACTATAATTTATATACCCAAGAAGCTCAGCAAAGTTCAAGAAAGATAAACTCAAAGAGACCCACGTGTAGACAGGTCATAATTAAAACTGTCAAAAGCCAAAGACAGAGAGAATCTTGAAAACAGCCAGAGAGAAGTGACCAGTCATGTACAAGGAATCCTCAAGAAGATTAACAGCCAAAGGCAGTGGGATGACATATTCAGAGGGCTACAGAAAAACACAGGCAACTAAGAATTCTGTATCTGTAGTCAACTGATTTTAAATAAGGCTGCCAAGACCCATTGAATGGGGAAAGAAGAGTCTTTGAAGCCAATGGCGGACAACTGGATCTCCACATGCAAAAGAATGGACTTAAACCAGTACCTTGCACCACAGACAAAAATTAACTCAAACTGGACCAAAGACCTAAATGGCAGAGGTAAAACTATAAATTCTTGGAAGAAAACATAAGTGTAAATCTTCATGACCTTGGATTAGGCAACAGCTTCTTAGGTATGACACCTAAAGCATAAGCAATTAAAGAGAAAATAGATAAACCTTCTGTGCTTCAGAGGACACTATCAAGAAAGTGAAAAGACAACCCAAAGAACAGGAAAAAATATTTGCAAATCACGTATCTGATAAGGGTCTAGTATCCAGAATATATGAGGAATATATGAAGAACTCTTACAATTCAACCACAAAAAGCAAATAACCCAATTAAAAAATTGGCAAAGAATTTGAATGTAGACATTTCTCCAAAGAAGATATACAAATGGCCAATAAGCACATGAAAACTTATTCAACGTCATTAATCATTGCTGTTGTTGTGTGCTATCGAGCTGATTCCGACTCATACTGAGCCTATATTACAGAGCAGAATTGCCCTATAGAGTTTCCTAGTTGTAATCTTTATGGAAAGGAGCCCTGGTGGTACAGTGGTTAAGCGCTCGGCTGCTAACCAAAAGGTCAGTAGTTTGAACACAGCAGCCACTCCTCAGGAGAAAGATGTAATAGTCTGCTTCCATAAAGATTACATCCTTGGAAACCCTATGGGGGCAGCTCTACCCTGTCCTATAGGGTCACTATGAGTCGGGATCGACTTGATGGTAACGGGTTTTTAAAAATTTTTATCGGAGCAGATCACCAGGTCTTTTCTCCTGCAGAGCTGCTGGTGGGCTGGAACCACCAAGGCTCCTTCATCGGGGAAATGCACATCAAAACCACAATGAGCTATCACTTCGCATCTACTAAGATAGCCATACCAAAAAAGATGGATAATAACAAGTGTTGGCGCGGATGTGGGAGAAACCGAACCCTCACACATTGCTGGTGGGAATGTAAAATGGTGTGGCCACTGCTGTGGAAGACAGTTTGGCAGTTCAAAAATTTAAACATTGAGTTACCATATTACTCAGCAATTCTCTTGCTAGGTATACACCCCGGAGAACTGAAAACATACGTTCACACAAAAACTTGTACGTGAATGTTCATAGCAGTATTATTCATGATAGCCAGCAAGTGGAAACAAGCCAAATGTCCATCCATTGGTGAGTGGGTAAACGAAATATGGTACATCCGTATAATAGACTATTCTTCAGCCAGACAAAGGAATGAAGTACCAGTACATGCTCCAACACAGATGACCCTTAAAACATTACGCTGAGTGAAAGAAGCCAGGCAGAAAGAGCCATAGTTTGTAGGATTCCAATTATATGAGATGTCCAGAACAGGAAAATCCATAGAGACGGGCTTCGAGGGAAGAGGTGAAAGGGGAGTATCTGCTAACGAATACAGAGGTTTCTTTTTTGGGGCGATGAAAATGTTCTCAGATTAGATAGCAGTGATGGTTTCACAACCTCATGAATAGATGAAAACCCACTGAACTGTATACTTTAAAAGGGTGACTTTTAAGGTATGTGGATTCTATCTCATTAAAAAAAAAAAGTCTTTTGAATCTCTACCATTTTCTTGGGTGGTCTTGGGATTTCTGATGGAGAAGGTTGACCTTGGCCATTAGGTATGTGTGGCAAACGCAAGTAAAAGAAACACAAACACAGCGCCACACAACCAAACAAACCACAGTATAACCTAAAGCAAGCACAAGTGCTCCTGGGGACCGGAAACTTCCCCTGCAAACCGCCTTCTTTAACAACACCCCAGTACACACACCCATCACGAAGATGGAATCTGTAACACTGCAGACTAAGGTCAACAGGGGTAACTGTACCTTTAATATTGTTTTGTTGTTCCATCAGTAATTTACTTATTTCTGAAAACCAACAGTCTCTGATTTCTTTTGAAGCTGCCTGCAATTACAGATAAGAAAGCACTGTGAGTATCAGATCGCCCTGCCTATTAATGGCACAGGGCCTTTATTCTTTGGGTGACGTTTGGAATAAGCAGATAGAAAACACTTGTCAAGCCATGAGAACACAATAAGGAAAAAGCAGAGAACGCCTCTGGGGAAGGCAAGAGCTTTACCTGCAGGATGTACTTCTCAAGTCCATTTCGACTGGCAATTTCAAACTTTTTGCTGCTCCCCCTTCCAACTTGGTGAATTGAAAGTGTCGTCAACTACAGTAAAAAGAGAAGAGAAATGTTTTAGGCCACCATTTTCCAATGTAGAAACTGTCCCTGTCAGCCACTCTAATTCTTTCCACCCTGGACAACCTTCTTCTTCCATTTGTCTTCCAAGTGTTTTGTTTTCCTCTTCCAATGGGCCCTCATACCAAAAACACTCAAGTCAGTTGCCCTTGAGTCAATTCTGACTCATGGAGACCCCATGTGTTTCAGAGCAGAACTGTGCTTCATAGGGTTTTCAATGGCTATGATCTTTCAGAAGCAGATCGCCAGGACTTTCTTCCAAGGTGCCACTGGGTGGATTTGAACCTCCAAGCTTGAGGTTAGTAGCTGATCATTTAACTGTTTGCATCACGCAGGGACTACTTCATTGTCCCGTGAAACACAATCAGGTACAGCGCCATCTGTCTTGTCCGTTTCAAAGGGTAACACAGACTATATCTTTCCATATGCAGAGCTATAGCTCTCAGCCTTTAGGTGAAGACATCATCTCTCCTTTAACACCTGAATACAGTGAAACCCTTGATGGCTGCTTTGTTTTTCCAGGTCTCGCAAACTTTTCACCTTTGACAGCGTGTAGTCTTACTGGTTTTCTATCGCTCTCTGTTAGTGGAAAATTTTTGAGTTTTCCTTCTCTGACACATTTCTGCCTTACACAGGTTTCAGCTTTTGTGGGTTTTACTATTTCACAAAATCTCCACATAATAGGAACTGAATTAGTACCCATTAAGACCATCATTTAAAAAGGCTACTATGCATAAATAATTTTTATTACAAGAGCACCCATGTACATTCAAAATTGTGTGTGTGATATTTAGCTAGGAAACATCTCCTGTACATGCAAGAGACAGTGCTTGCTATAGACATGAGTCGCTAGACACACAGGGTCAGGATGGTACCTGCAGCTGTACACAAAGATGCCCATTGAGGACGGCACAGAGAAAGTGAAGTCCAGCTGGAGCCCTATCGCCCTTTTGCCTTAGGGGAAGGAGGGCGTTTTCTCTAAATCATCTGTACAGACAGGCTGCCTATGGTCCTTTGTCTCTCCTTACTTAGCACGAAGACACCTCTGTGCTGGCCCTGGCCTGACTCAGTGACTGACCGGCCTCGGGGTGCATTCGCTCTGCTGCTGGGCAATTTCACTTTACCTCTCCAAGTTCCAGTCCCCTTATCTCCTTATCTCCCCCCTAGGATTGTGCTGACTCCCCAGGTGCAATAACCAGTTGCTGTCAAATCGATTCTGACTCATGGCGACCCCATGTGTGTCAGAGTAGAACTGTGCTCCATAGGGTTTTCAATGGCTGATTTTTCAAAAGTAGATTGCCGGGCCTTTCTTCTGAGGTGCTTCTGGATGGACTTGAACCTCTAACCTTCCAGTAAGCAGCCGAGTGTGTGAACTGTTTGGTCCACCCAGGGACTCCCAGGTGCAAAGGACCCTTTTTACCTTCATAGACTTCTTAAAGCTGTAACGAGGAGATAGCCCCTGGTCACTGGGTTCCACTCGTATCTTACAGAACATGATTCCCTTTTCAAACAGATAGATTTGCCTCTGGCTGGGCTTAAATCGCATAAAATCCTTCATCTTAGAACGGTCTTTGTGAACCGTCCAGACGCTGAAAGGGCCGTGCATCAACAGCTTGCCGAGTTTCCCTACATCGTCCTTGGAGAAACAGACACAGAGAAAGAAGCCATTGAATTCCTTGAAAGAAACCTTTCATATTATAATGCGTGCTTATTTGAGGTACATAATCTTAAAAGTGCCACCCAGGCTGATCTGTCACAAAATCAAAACTACAACTTTGTGAGCCTCACTGAGGCCGGCATTATTCGGCTGTGTAAGGTAGTTAAGTTCGGCTGTATGAGGTAGAATACGTAACATAAAACACATTAGAAATACTTGAACTAAAGATGTTACCCCATTACCCTCCGCCGTCGAGTTGATTCCGACTCATAGCAACCCCACGGGGTGCCCAAGGCTGTGCATGTCTACGGAAGCAGACTCTACCACATCTTTCTCCCATGGACCCGCTGCCGGTTTCCAACCACCGACCTTCCAGTTAGCAGTCGACTGCTTTAAACAGTGCGCCACGAGGGATCCTTAAAGATATTAGGATTCTGATATTTTGTTTTGTAATTCATTTTAGGGTTAGGGTTAGGGCTAGAGTTAGGGTTAGGTTTTGTAATTTCATTTTAGAAGTTACATGTCTGCTTTGTTTTTGACCCACGAGTCCACTTAATTAGGACAAAAAATTAACATTTTAATTACGATCTGAGAGACAGAAATTCTGCTGCAGTTTGCAGCTACGGCAATCCTTGTGTTCGTCAGGAATCCAAGAACCTAAAGCCGCGAGGTTTGTTCTGAAAAGTGAGAGCTCAGTGTGACACGCTTTTTGCCAAGATGTGACCCTTAATGGAAATCGTAAACACTTTCAACTCTGCAATGAGCGGACGGTGAAGAGGTAATTCCAAATGACAGGTTTTTGAAGAAGTCCATCTGACTCCAGGGCACATACTCTGATGCCTCTCTCTCCACCAGCAAGCCTGCCTTACTCACGGGCGTCTGGCTGGACGTCAAATGAGATGACCCTTCTCTCTCTGAGTTCTCCCCAAAGGGGCGTAGGGTAAGAGAGGCTGGGAGCATGCTGAAGAGCAGGGAGGACCCTTGTATTTTATCTGGTATTTTCCAAAAATTAAACCACTTGTAAGCAGATAATAAAAAATTTATTTCCCTGAATCCAAGTACCAAAGGAAGAAAATTATTTTAGCAGGACCAGGATAGGGAAATTTCCCAGAGCTACATCTGGCCGAGATAAATCCCTGTGTTTCTGAAAGTTAATACCAGAAATGCGCGCGTTGTTTATAATTGACCATGCATTATTTCTAACCTGTTGTTTAGAAGTTGAGTGAACTGTGAATATTTTTTTTTAAAGAACGAATTGACTGTACTGTTGAATTGGCAAATGTTTTGTTATACGTATTTTTACCACAATTAAAAAAAAAAGCAACTGTCTGTACATCTGAAATTTTAAAATAAAAACTCTAAGAGAGTAAACTTGAGTCATTTCAGTGGTGCTTGTGGCATATTTTCTGTGCTAATTTTCTGTTTTTGCTTTGGAAGGGTTAGATGTGTAAGCTGCGGTGAATGAAGCCCTCGCTGGAGAATAAAGAGCCTTAGCCATAATGCCTTCCATCTTAAAAGCATGATGCTCCTGTTCTATGTGGCACAAGGTTCAGCTGGACCACATTCGGAGACAGACACTGGATGGGTCCGTGAGGAGTCTTGGGAAGGTTTCACTCTAGCTGCATCCTTCCAGGACCTGTTCAAATGTAGCTGTTCCAGCCTCAGTGATTGCTTTTCCCTTAGTTGGTATCTTGCACCATCAAGCTGAGACTTGTGGTGACCTCCTGCATTACAGAGTAGAACTGCTCCATAGGGTTTTCTTTCTGGAAACAGATCACCAGGGCTTTTCTACCGTGGTGTCACCGGATGGGTTCGAACCGCCAACCTCTTGGTTACCAGCCCAGTGTGTACCATGTGTGCCACCCAGGGACCTTGCGTTCTTCTTTAAACCCACAGAACTTGTACTAAATAGCGCGGGGAGTAAGGTGTAGTCAAGGCAGCTGGCAAGAGTAGCTGCTTCATATTTGCAGCCGGAACAAATGTCACTGGTGGTTTCTATTTTAAAATGTATTTATACCCCACCGCATTTCAAAAATGGTATACACGTTACAAAAATTGTATACACTTTATACAGAATAGCCAGGGAGAGAAAATAGCAGAGGAAGTTAGGGTGAAGTGAAAATAAAGACAGAAAACAAGACAAAGAGGTTGCTTAGAAAATCCACACAATCAAGCCGTGTAAACTTGCTGCCGAGGGAGGGAGGTGAGTTCATGATTCATTACGTCCAAAAGGCAAACGCAAACCAGTTGTTCAGGAAAAGACAGCAATTCCTTCCGGTCAGAGAATGACCCTTATAAAGGGTCATGGGGTCAAATACTGAGCAACATCCTTGAACACATCTCATAATATACAAGTTCATGTATTTTATGTAAAGCGCTCTTGGAGAACACACGGGGTGAAGTAGAAGAATCACCTCACGGCACGGCCACAAAGCAATTCTTAAGGACCCATAATAACCGGGGGAGTGGAGGGGTCCAGGTATAACCTCGCTCCTGACCTTCCTACACAGGAGGGAGTTACGGAGGCCACCTGTCACGGCCATAGGCTGCTGTAGAGGAAACAGCCCTGCTGATGGCCCTGGTGAAGAGGTGACCTATCACCTCTGAGCTCTCCCCTCAAGACAGCCAGAGCGGCTGGCACCTTTGTAAGCACTCAACCACAGGGGCACTACTCCAGAGCGGGACCCACAGGTGACCACCAGAGCCGGGTGTACGAAGACGTGCCAGGCAGCCCACCGGATCCCTCTCTGAACTGAGAATGGGGTGTGAGCTGTCAGGTGCTTTACGAGCAGGAAGGTGGTGGAATAAACCATAAGGAAGCTGAGTTTTGAGGTGAGTCACCAGAAACTATGAGGAAGAAGAAAAGACACTGACAGAGGGAAAGACCCGGGAAGTGGGCAGAGAGAAGACAGAGGAGCAGGCTTGTGGGGTGCGGCTGGCACATTAAAGGCGGAGCACGAAGGGCTGAGTCCCTGACTCCCTCCCACGTGCCAGGAGCTGCTGTGGGTTCCGGAACATCCAGTCCCATCTGGGCGAGCCTTGGGGCTCCGCCCTTGTTCTGACTCTTCCGAGGCTCTGTGGGTCAGCTTCTCCTATCAGCCATCATCACTGGAGGCCACCGGAAGGAACTGGTGCAATAGATGGGCTACCCACCCTGTGGGACATCTTGCATAAACTTTCTCAGGACCTTGCTGGTGATGGACTGGCCATTGTCCAGGAGGGCACAGGCTCTGCACAGTGTTGATGAAGTGCAGGCACCGACATTGGACCGTCGGCCAGGATGTGTGCCTCCGGAGGGAAGCGGGCCAGGGATGACTCCCGGCGTCTTCTCAACCGTCTGGCTCCTGTCTCTCCAGTCAGGCTGGAGGTGGTCCCAAGGCCACAGAATACACGCACAGCCTCTTGCAGACACTTCTCCACTGTTGTTGCTGTTGTTGGCTGCCACTGACTTGACTCTGACTCCCGGTGAGGGGACCTCATGTGTTACACAGTAGACCTGCTCCATGGGGTTTTTTTGGCTTTAATCTTCATGGAAGCAGATCCCCAGGCCTTTCTTCCATGGTGCTGCTGGGTAGGTTCAAACCATCCACCTTTGGGTTAGTAGCCAAGTGCAAACTGTTTGCACCAGCCAGCGACCTACTTGTCCCCTAGTGTTTATTCATTTGTTGGCAGTTAGCGAGTGTCTGGGGGCACGAAACCAAGTACTCAGCGCTGCAAGGGAACACTGACTGAGTCAAGAAGACAATTCAGTGATGCTCCCCTTAACCAGGTTTTCAACCGGCGCCGTGATGGTGTGGACGTCACTTTGGTGTGCTGAAGAAACAGATGGACGTGAGCTCTGAGATGGAGCACAGGGGTCTCCCAAACAAATAAGCAAGTGATAAGTCAGATGGCCATTTTGCTCAGATATGAGAATCTAGAATGTGACTACACTGACCAAATTCAACAGAGAGAATCAAGTGGAGCCAGCCTTCAGGAAGGGACCCCTTTTAGGTACCCAGGATTTCACTCCTGGCACTGACAGCTAATTTAGTAGAGGTATGTACTTCTTGTTAAAAGAAGCAGGGAACATCTGGATAAATGAATCAACACAACACCTAGTCCAGAAATAAAAAGCAGAAGCTGTGGGACAGAGGAGCTAGTGATTACACCAGCCAGAAGCAGAGGGGTTCCTTCCCTTCCAGGCCAATCAGTTACCCCAAATAACTGAGCTCTAAGGCCATTCACCTACGGGGGGCAGGCTGGGTGCTGAGCGCCCTACTCCATCCTCATTTACTGCTCATAGCCACCTCTGACGTTATGAGGGTGGGAAGACGCACCAGGAAATCCCACGGAATCAGTCTTCACTCAGCCTTATCTCTGCAGTTAACACAATGGTAAGGAAAGTGGGAACTAACACAGAAATAAAAGACCAGTCCTAGCTGTCTTAGGCTGGGTTCTCTCGAGAGATAGATAGATATGTATGTTGTATATCTATCTATAGCTATAGATATCTATGTATGTATATATATACATATCTGTCTGTCCATCTACCTATCTATCTAGACAGATTTATCTCAACGAAATGGTTCACGCAGTTGTGGAGGCTGACCAGTCCTGAAGTCCACAGGTCAAGTGTCGGCTAGAGGCTTCCTCTGACTCATGTGGTTGCAGGGGCTGATGAACCCAGAACTGGCAAGTCAGACGGCAGGCTGCTGGCTCACAGGGCCGCGGAGCTGGTGAATCCCAAAGTCAGCAGGTCAGATGACAAGCTGCTGGCTCAAGTCCCAAGAACTGGGGGTCAGTTGATGACAAGCCAGAAATAGGATCCAGAGCAAGCAAGTAAGCTTTGCCAGAACGTCCGTATACACATTGGCTGCAGGCCACACTCCTGGGGAAACTCCCCTTACAGCTGATTGGCTGATCGTATCAGATCACATCATGGAGGTAATTACATTATATCACAAAACAGAGGATACTTACATCAGATCACAAAATGGAGGATAATTATGTAATACTGAGGATCATAGCCTAGCCAAGCTGACACATAACATCAACAATCACCCTAGCCCGCGATAAACTTGCTATAAAACTCTTTTACTGTATTATATAAATTTATCTCAGAAAAGAAAAAAATGTTTCATTCAAGATTTACTATTCAACTTTGGAACTTGTTCCTGGCAAGTCAAGATTTAAACAGATTCCAAGTACATCTTAATCACGTATTGGGTTGAACAGAGGGAAAACCTTTTCTTGGCAAATGGAGGGAAGGAAATTACATCTCAGCATTCTATAAAACAATCTTTTTTAAAAATAAATTTTTTTCTTAATTTTTGTGACTAAATTAAACCAAGAATTGAGTGCAGACAACAGGAAGAAAACGTAAGTGTCTCAGAAGGAAATTTTTTCTAGTGTTTTGATTATGGATTCAGCCACTCAAGTTCAATGTCTTCCCTTTGCAAAACCAGGTTAATGTGGGATTTCACGTTGAGAGACATTGGAGTTATCCATGCATACGGCATGTGACTGTAAGCATCTTGTGATAAAGAAATCCTACAAAGCTGAGGCAACAAATCTTGGAATCATCAGGTTTGAGTTACTGTTGTTAGCAAACTCTAATCAGAGGCAGGGGATGAGTGTGGTTGAGAGCATGGCACCCTGGACAGGGAGTGAGAAGATGCAAGAAATACTCCTGGCTGATACCCACATGATCTTGGGTGAGTTAACTGTTCTTTCCAGGATCTGCTCCTGAATCAGAAAGGCTGGCATTTCCAGTACCTGCTCCTCTGTAATTCAATAGATTACACAAAACCGTCAGGATGAACTAGCTAATGTCCTAGGTGTAAAAGCAAGTTGAAGTCTTCGGGGAAAAGAAACTAAAGAATGGACGTCAAAGGCACAATTCTGAGGAAAACTTGGGGCAGGGGGTAGGGGGGAGTCATTTCCACCCAGTGTAAAATCTCTAAAACTCTATAAGCTGGTTCATCTCAGCTGTATGCAAGCTGGCTTCTTCTGAATGAAATTAGGATGAATTACTATTTCCTCAAGTTTTAATCAACTTCCTCCTCCTATGTGATTTCCACTCAGAATAACAGCTGGGAGCTTCCCGCCCTGTGGGTGGTTTCCATTACATTCATTTCAGTCAGGGATATATACCAAGGGTCATTGACACACGTCTCAAGATAAAAAGAAAAGAACAGAAAGATGCCTCAAAATGACCAGAAAAATTGCCCCCAACTTTTCTCAACCGAAGAAGGAAAAACCATTGCCAAGAAAACCTGCCCTCCCACGTTCTCTCTAGCCCCTGCGTGTGGTTGTTGAAGACCCTCTTGAATCAGGTATCAGGAGCAAGAAGAGAATACCTCAGAGACCCAGGAGACCACAGGGGCGTCACCACCCAGGGCCACAGCAAACCCCACGGGACAAAGTTTCTGAGAAGCTGGCCGGAGAAATACCATGAGGAAGGAAACACAAAGATCATGGTACTTTGCCCCTAGTTAATTTGCATAGCTTGACTTATGACAAGGACAGGAAGGGCACTTCACTGCCAAGGCCTCAAAAAACAGCACGTTAGGGACCACGTGAAAGGGGAGGCAAAAGAGAAAGGGAAGTATCTGTCGGAAACAGCGTTCTCAGAACGTCTGAACCCTGTGTGGTGGGCAGAACAACGCCCCTCTCTCCCCCAAAAGATGTCTACGTCCTAATCCCTGGAACCTGGAACATGTCAGGTCACATGGCAAAGGGGAATTAATGGAGCCCTGGTGGTGCAGTGGTTAACAGCTCGCCTGCTAACCAGAAGGTCGGCAGTTCAAATCCACCAGCCACTCCTTGGAAACCCTATGGGGCAGATCTACTCTGTCCTACAGGGTCGTTATGAGTCGGAATTGACTCGATGGCAATGGGTTTGGTTTTTGGTTTTTAATCAGCTGACTTTCAGCTAGGGAGATTATCCTGGTTATTCAGGCGGGCCCAATGTGATCACAAGGGTCCTTAAAAAGAGGAAGAGGGGGCATAAGAAATGGTCAGAGTGATGCAGTGTGAGAAGGACTCGGCCTGACACTGCTGGCTTTGAAGACGGAGGAAGGGGGCTGTGAGCGGCAGCCTCTTTAAATTGGAAAAGACAAGAAAACCATTTCTCCGTAGAGCCCCCCAAAAGCAAGGCAGGCCTGCTGACATCTTGGTGATAGAGACTATATGGTTCTTATGGAATGGTAAGATAATGAATGTGTGCTGTTTTAAGCCACCAAGCTTGTGGTAATTCATTATGGCGGCAACTGAAAAGTAACACGCCTGAGTCAAAATCTAGAGCGCTCCAAAGTGAAAAACAGTGGAATATTAATAGTGCCCCAGCAAAGAGACCGTACAATCACAGAGCAAGGTTTGCCTGAGGCCAGCCTGCTCGGGTGTAAAGCACAGCACTGGCCTCTGATGAGCTCTCTCATTGTTTTTCCCTCGACCATTTGGATGAAGGGACGTACAATATATACTTGTTGGGCCTCTCCTGGGGTCTGTGATGGAAAAGGGTATTAGACTCTCACTTTGGATCCATTTAAAAAATACCATCCACAGAGAAAATCTGACTCAGGAGGAAAATCTTTTGTATCTTTTATTATTTTTACTAATAGCAGCAGTCAGACAATAAACTCCCCCTTCGGCAATTTTCCCACCCGTTTTGTTTCTGGTGCGTGCAGAGCATGGCTCAGTGTTAACATTCAGGATGCCGTGGGAGACAACTCCTCTCCCAAAATGCCGAGGGGCTGACTGGAACCTTGAAGCACGGGTTTGCTCACTGACCCAGACTTACTTTCCTTTACCACAGCTGACGTCTCTAACTGTGCCGCGGCATCTCTACCTTCGTACCATTGTTCCTGTCATCTGTGTGAAATGTTCCAGCACTCACGAGGCACATACCGGACATCCAGTGACAGCTGCCAGGTCCACGGCCAACTCACAAGACTTGATCAAATCCTCCATTATGACCAAAGCTTGTTGTAGCTCGGCTGAGAATGCGGAATCCTTGGTCCTCTTTGGCCTGTCCTGTGGAAACCAATACACCTTGTTGGAAACCAAAAGATACACCATCTACCAAGCGAGGAAGGACAACAGGGCAGAGATAACGAGCCATGGATCCAGCCAGCACTGAAGTGACTGAGAAGGTGGGTGCATTTATCTCTTTCCCTGCTCCCAAAGGATAGTGGCTACAGCTTTCTGCTGGTTTAACTGTATTTAAAAACAAAAACCTGCGCCCTCGAGTTTATTCCAACTCATAGTGACCCTACAGGATGGAGGAGAACTGCCCCACAGAGGTTCCAAGGAGCGGCTGGTGGATTTGGACTGCCAACCTTTTGGTTAGCAGTCGAGCTTTTAACCACTGTGCCACCAGGACTCCTTCCATGTGATAGATAGATGAGCAGACTCATCTACCAGGCCTTCTGTACATTGTACTAACAAAGAATAGAGTTTGTAAAATCATGGACACTGTATTCCTGCTACATATAAAACATAGAGAACTCAGCTTTTCTAAAGCACAAAGAAAACCAGCCCTTTTAAATAGGCTTCTCCCCGCTTTACATGCCAACTCCTGGGAAGAGGGGGAGGTTATTGAAAACAACCATCTGAGTATCATATTCTTATATTTAAGGCAGAAGTCTTATTCCTATGGGTAAAATTATACTTAGAACCGTCCCAGGGGAGAATATTTGTAACCTCCTACAGAGGCAAAGAATGGCTGCCGTGGGGAGGTTGATTTCCGTCACAGCACTCACGCTGTATCTCCCCCAGCACCGCCCTTCCTTCCTTCTCTCCCTCCTCCACCCTCCCCACGTTCTGCCAACATTAAGGATGCCGAAGACATAACCCAAAGCAGTCTCCAGCTCCCAGATATAAAGCGTCAGCATTAAATGGAAAAATAGTAACTGCTCATGAAAGGGCCATCGTTGTGACACTCAGAGCATGATGGAGGTAACTGTTTCCCCTCGAGAGGCATTTGCTGTGGTTTCAGTACTGTATTTCCTTGCTGCTTATGTGGAATATTTATCTGTTACCTGGTAAATACAAACAAAGAGATCCTGGTTTCTTGTGTGTGTGTGTTTAAACAATTCTACAACAAAGAACAAATAGCTCTTTGCTGCTCCCCATGCAGCCCTGTCTCTTCTGTCCTCTACAGCAAGCTGTAGTTGAAAAGGTGTGTATTTTCGTGATCTCTGCTGAAGCGCTGGGTATGAGTGTTTTTGCTTTCAGAGATTTAAGTGACGGGGCTGATGAACGACACAGCTCATGTGCCGTGGACTCCAACCTCCTCTCTCGCACCTTCTCACTCGTAATAAACGTGCTTCAGTTCCTGGTAAGAGCCCACGGACTCTCACCTGAGCTTATTTAACACCATCACGAAAGGATGACAAGTTCTTAGACCAGGCATCTTCCTTCTTACTCAGCCTTAAAACTCATTTCCTCTCAGAGACTTACCTGCTCTGTCCCCGCTCCTTCCCCACTAGCCCTCCTCCCACAGACACAGCAGGGACAATGGCTAGTTTTACACTGTGCAATGCAGGGCTCAGGGCAATCCTTGCAACATTACTAAACCCCTCTGACTGGGGCTAGCCCCCTTACTCCAGGCTGTAAAATTATTACCCTGCCTTGAACTTTTCCTAATATCAAGGGTTCCCCACCACACGTTCTGAGCAAAGAGGGAGCACAAACGAGGGCTCCTTGAGACCCTGTATGTGTGGCAAGTTTTTCCACCAGTTACGCCAGAATATGCTATAGGAAATCTAAAATAAATTCTGCTAAGCCACAATTTTTTTCTCAATCTGTGGGTCACATGTTAAAGTGGCCACCATTTCCTCCAAGGGAACCTTGGCAGTCGTTCTTAGAATTCACACACACACACACACACACACACACACACACACGCATACATACATACACATGCACACACACAGACACACACGTGCATGCACACATGCGCACACGCACACACAGGCACGCACATACACGCACACACGCGCACACATGCGCACCCCCACACACACATACACACATGCGCGCACACATGCGCACACACACATGCGCACACACGCACACATACATGCACACACATGCGCGCACACATGCACACACATACATGCGCACACATACACGCACGCACGCACATACATGCACGCACATACATGCACACACGTACACCGACACACATGCACACACATGCACACACGCACACACACATGCACACACATGCACACACACGCACACACACATGCACACACACGCACACACATACATGCACACACATACACACATGCACACACGCGTGCACACATGCACACACACATGCGCGCACACACACATGCGCACACACGCACGCACACATACACATGCACATGCATGCACACTCGAGGGGAACAGGGTATGATGTATACAAATTGGATATACTAAGAAGTATAGAGAAGATATAAATCACCCTGCCCACCATTAAGGAGACCACAGTAGAGATTTCACCATATTTACCTGTAGCCCTTTAATTATGCATTTTACACATTTACTTAATTTTGAATTCCCATGAAAATATATTACATCTCGTCCTGCTGAAAAGCCTCACATCAAAATCACCTTTAATTTTTTCCCACTGAATATGGGCCATAGGATACATACTTATTTTAGAATAGTTAGACAGGAAAGATCATACACAGGGGAAACAAAATTGTCATCAGTACTTCCATCCGTGGACAAACTCCATGAACAGTTAGTGATATCCCGTACCTTGGCCGAACCTCCTTCTAATTCACCTGGGTCTATCTCCAAATCCTCAGGAAACTCGAAATCCAGCAGACCCTGTAGTAACCGAAAAGCCTCGTTCAAAATCAAAAAATACAACGCTAACTAAATCTCCTCTGCAAAAAAACGTCCAGCCAAAGCTACACTGGCTGAGAACGTGGGTAGACGGGATTGTTTCTCATGAGTAAAAGGGAAAGAATAAACGATACATATGGCACCATTCTTTTTCCCCACAAATGTAAAATCATATAGTCTGCCCTATTTTGAAGCTCACTTTTACCTACCCAACTATACATCATGAGCATTTTCCGTGACACTTTTTCTAAAAGACGATTTTTGATTGTGGCAGCGTGTTGTATCCTATATAAACAATCAAAACCCAAACCCATTGCCGTCGAGTCCATTCCGACTCACAGAGACCCTACAGGACAGAGTAGAACTGCCCCATACGGTTTCCAAGGAGCGGCTGGTGGATTCCAACTGCCGACTTTCTGATTAGCAGCCAAGTGTTTAACCACTGTGCCACCAGGGCTCCTGTCTCCTATATATAAGCCATAATTAAATTAATCTCCTTTACTGTCGAACATTTAGGTTGTTTCCAATTTTTTACTATCATCATCATCCTTGTGCATTTTTCCTAAATAAAAATTCCTAGAAGTGGAAGAGTATTAGATGTTTTAATGCATATTTCTGAGTTCTTTGGAGAACAAAGTGTTCCTTCCATCTATGTATGAAAGCCCATTTCACCACTCCCTGGCTTCCGTGGGGTATCACCATTCAACCCCAAGCTTTGCCAATTAAATAAACAAAGTGATACCATCTCATTGTTGTTTTCTCTTGAATTTCTCAGGTATCCAGCAACGCAGAACTAAAAAACAAGTTTGTTATTAGTACTTACTCTTTGGTGAACTGCCTACATCCTTTGTTCATCTTATTATTAATTTCTAAGAGCGCACTGGGAACTAAGCATACTGACCCTTTGTCCTGTACGTTGCTAATATTTTTCTAAAATTTTCACGTGTCTTTCCTAAATGGTATATGGTGTCATTCTTTTCTCTTTCTTTTATACTTAGAAAGGATTTCCACATACCAGAATCCCACAATCCTTTCTAAACCATGAGGTGATGGGTATAACATCTCTGCCCTTTCAAACAATTTGTTATGTGGGAACCACAGAATGAACACCATCCCTCAGGGTGGAGAATTCTACAAAGTTCTTTTCCTCACAGGTGTGCCAACAGTTTGAACTTACTTTCCAGGCACACAGCAAGTTGAGCCTCCCACCGTTCTGCACCACCCCCCCCAAGGAATATTCTATAGTGATTCTATTTCTTGTTCACTCGGTGAAATAAAGTTTAAAAAATCATAGCACGCCTTTAAGTACTTCTAACACATATTCTCTCTTCTAATGCACACAACAAGCCTCCCAGCAAGGAAGTATTATCTTCACCTCATTGTAGTTGGGTGCTGGTGAGTTGGTTCCGACTCATAGTGACCCTACGCGCCATCCTCACCATCGTTGTTATGTTTGAGCCCATTGTTGCAGCCACTGTGTCAATCCATCTCGTTGAGGGTCTGCCTCTTTTTCGCTGACCCTCTACTTTACCAAGCATGATGTCCTTCTCCAGGGACTGATTCCTCCTGCTAACATATGTTCAAAGTACGTGAGACGAAGTCTCGCCATCCTTGCATCTAAGGAGCGTTCTGGCTGTACTTCTTCCAAGACAGACTTGTTCGTTCTTCTGGCAGTCCGTGGTATATTCAATATTCTTCACCAACACCATAATTCAAAGGCGTCAATTCTTCTTCGGTCTTCCTTATTCACTGTCCAGCTTTCGCATGCATATGAGGCATTTTACAGAAGGGGACTCGGAGGCAGAGAGAGGCTAAGTAACTTGCCTAAGTTCATGACGCCTGGAACTGGTAGAGCCGGGTCCACACCCAGGCTCTCAACCCTGAGTCTGCATTTCTAGTTACTAGGCTCTGCTTTTGTGGTTTACAGCCCTGCACGTGGCACAGACCTCAGCTGTGGTGTAGACTTCGCCTCCATGGGCAAACTCGAAGCCAGCAATACAGGCTGAGGGTGTGAAAACCACCACTATGTCCTGCTTCCTCGAGTGACAATAAAGATGGGGGACTATGTGGCTCTGAATGAGTGTTGGATCCAAACATGCTTGTAAATGCTGCTTACAGAGGGAAGCAACAGATCGTTATCCTCATTCCACCCCAGTGTGACGGTCTCAACATGTCATACAACTCTCCAAGTCAGGGGAGGGCTCCTGGGGGCCAGCACTGCCAAATTCTTTATGTGCTCTACTCCCTTGCCCCTCATAACAACCCCACAGAGGAAGTTCTACTTCCCCAACTTACTTACAAGAGGAACGAGGCCTAAGAGGTCAAGTAAGCCAGGACTGCTGAGCAGCAGGGCCAGCATGGCCGAGGCTGGGGCTGCTGGTGGAAAACTGCAAGGGGTGACTTAGCAAGGGCAGAATGCAACTAACCTCCCTGAGCCCCGGCTTCTCACGCTCCAGAGTCTTCCTGGCATGTCTGGTTGTGGGGATGACATTACACACGGGAAGGCAGTCGGTAAACAGTAGGTGCTCATTTCTCATTAAGAGACCATAGCCCTGGGCAAGAACCACCTAAAATGCTTTTTACAGGTTAACTCAAAATACAACTTGTAGGGGTGGCCCCACCCCATTCCTTCAGGCTCATGTGGCAAACCAGCCAGCCCCACAGTCCCCTGTGTCCTCTGCAGGGTGTCTGGGACAGGTGATGGCAGATGTGTTGCTGGCAATGCCTCACCACCAAGGATGAGAGAGAGAGCCACTTAGGGGTTTAGGCAGGGCAAAACTCATTCTGCGTAGAGCCCAAATCGAAGGGTGGATGTTGCAAAAGGACGGAAGACTTCAGTTTTGCCTTCTTTCCATTGTGTTAATGCACACAAAGCAGTGACCTTGGAGAAACCAAACCTCTTCTCTGAAGCACGTTGCTTCATCTGTAAAACGGAGATGGTATCTTACACGTCTGAGAGTACAGGCTGGGTCAGGTAGTCGAGGGGCACTCTGCCCGCCTTCCCCACCCTCTCAGCTGCCAGAAGTGCAGCTGTCCTCCCTGCCGTTGATCCCAGTGGCCTCTCCTCCTCTAAGCCATGCTCCTTAGAGATTCATGGATGTTGGATGCTGGATTCATGGATGATGCTGGACATCGGACTAGTCAGGCATCAGGGTCCCTTCCAATGCTACAATTCTTTGAGTCTTATTTCTCACCGAGTGGGCTGATATAGACTTGCAGGAAAGAAAAAGTCAAGGAATAGATACATTTCCAGCCTTGGAAGACCAAGTCACAACTCTACATGTCTAAGAAAGTGAGCACCATAGCCCAGGCATCTGATTCCCGCAAACAGAAAAGCACTGTTGCATAGACTTTACCTTCAGCAACATCTGGTATTTCAGAAGCCTCTGGCTTGGTCCTCTCAGATACTTAAAAAGAGGGAGATGGTGATCCAACTGGCGCTGGCATACCTTTAAAAGCCAAAGAGAAACAGCATAAAACAAAACAAACAGACACACACAGAACAAACGTGGCAGCATTTAAATACAAGGAATGAACTGGGCTCATCATGGACAAGGAGGTGGCTGCGTTGATCAGTTTCAAAATGTTATTGAGGTGTTTAGTCTTTCAGAAGCAGCATGTGAAACGAGAGAAAGAGGAAAGGAGACGACTTGGCTAGTATTTTTATAGGCAACCAGAGGAACAGGACCATTTATTCCCTTCCGAAAGCAAGTCCAGAAGAAGACAGTGGGGCATTTCAGGTCCGTTTGAAACGAAAGCAACCCATCTTCGAGTTGGTGGTGGGCATCTCTTCAGGTCATTTTGAGCCTGGGGGGCACACGATAGCTTGCTGGCATCATTCCAAACCAAACCAACCCACTGCTGTTGAGTCGATTCCGACTCATAGTGACCCTACAGGACAGAGTAGAACTGCCCTATAGGGTTTCCAAGAAGTGGCTGGTGGATTCGAATTGCCGACCTTTGGGAGCCCCAAAGTGTGACACTTTTGAGTTAGTTCCATTTTCCAAATCCATTTTGGAAGAGGACCCGGGTTTTCTTACCAGGCTACGGTTTCTCCTCCCAGGCCTATTCATAGCAGCTCAGGGGAACATGGAAATTCTTGCGTAATTTCAAGACATGAGAGACTTTTAATAAACATAAATCTAACAAACATAAAGGCCCACTTCCTCTGATTGCTTTGTAATTTTGTTTCCTTTAAAAATTCAGAAACATTTTCCAGAGAGAACCATCTGTGCGAGACTTTATAAAGCCAACATTACCCCAAAGTAGGCGCAGTCTTGACACTCTTGCCAGATGCTGTTAGCTTGGGGCAGGTTCTTGTGGTATTTAAAATATATTTGAAAATCTTCTTTCTGAGTGGGCAACAAATCAGAGCAAATTAATCAGGTCGCATTTTTTCAGTAAGTGGGTAGGAGAGTACAGATTATTCATTCATTCAACAAATCTGAGTATTTCCAATGTGTGAGGAACTGGGAGTCTGTGATAAATAACCTAATGTTAACGTGTGTGTGTGCATTGGTTATGAACAACCATAAATACTAAACATATGAGCAGAGTGCTGTGGCAGCATCTACAAGGACTGCTGGTAAATCAATTAGTGAATTCATGAGCAGGAGTTAGTTCTTATCTTCATCCTCCCCTCCCCTGAACGTCATTCAGGACACCAAGAGCTGCCCAAACCCACTGTGCGCCGAGTGATAAAACTAACAGACGAAACCCTGGTGGCTGACGGCCCCTCCTTCTCCACATCCTTTGTTATTACAGCCATTATGATGCCAGTCCTAAAGAAAAACCTCAGAAACGACCAGAAGATGGAAGCACCCCAGGAAGAAAATGTGTTTGTGCGGACAGAGACTACAGGTCTGAGTCATTTGGGCAGCACCCAAAGGGCAAGCTCTGCCTCAGACGCCACCTTTGACCTGCAGCTCAAGACCTCCGAGATAGGAAAAGTTATGGGACTATTTCAGAGCTGGAAATCCAGATGGAATCTAAGTATACACTGTCTCAGAGACCGGGAGAGGTGAGCATGCATTTGCTAGTGTCCCAGATACAAAAAACACACCAGCTATCAAGTCAGCCTGCCAGTGTCCTTCGCTCCATCAGGAGGACCAGGTCCATAGCAGTCACCTTCCTTCACTCCATCAGGAGGACCTGGTCCACAGCAGTCACCTTCCTTCACTCCATCAGGAGGACCTGGTCCACAGCACTCAGCTTCCCTCACTCAATAAGGAGGACCTGGTCCACAGAAGTCAGCTTCCCTCACTCCATCAGGAGGACCTGGTCCACTGAAGTCAGCTTCCCTCACTCCATCAGGAGGACTGGTCCACAGCAGTCAGCTTCCTTCACTCCATCAGGAGGACCTGGTCCACCGCAGTCAGCTTCCTTCACTCCATCAGGAGGAACCTGGTCCATAGCAGTCAGCTTCCTTCACTCCATCAGGAGTACAGGTCCACAGCAGCCAGCTTCCTTCACTCCATCAGGAAGATTGGTCCACAGCAGCTCTAATTGCCATGAGCCCAGCCGGTAAGAGCAGAGAAGCCTGCATAGCCACCTCACTGCAGATTTCTAGGTCCCTGTTCCCTTGCTTAGAGTCCCTGAGTGGCACAAATGGTTAAACCCTCAGCTAACTGAAAGGCTGTTGGTTCAAACTCACCCACAAGCACCTTGGAAGAAAGGCTTGGCAATCTGCCTCCCAAAGGTCACAGCTATGATAACTCTATGGAGTGCAGCTGTACTCTGAAATGCATGGAAATTGACTCAGAATCGACTTGATGGCAACTGGTTGGGGTTTTTTTTTTAATCCTCCTGATCAGGCCAACTCTTGATTTCTTTCACGGTGACACAGGCTATTTTCTCCGCTCACAGCATCCACTACGTCTGCGCCACTTCCAAACACACTGCTGTGGTGAATGGTTTCCATTGCTGTAGCTCTTTGCCTCTCCTGATCGATTGTAAGTAGCCATTTCAGCACAAGAACCACCACAATCCTGTCCTTCAGGACTCCGTCCTGGAAAAAAATGAACACAGGCACACACACACACACATGCACACAATGAACGCACACACACACAGAGACAGGTCTTTGAGGAAAAGAGATAGCTTTTGAGGAATGTTGTTCATGCTGGCTAACGGAGTAGAACAATTCAGAGTTTAACAACAATACAGACATTTACTCCTTCTCTGGAGAACTGTCTCCTGAGTGCATCTGATGGGCCAAGCATGGGGCTAGGTACACCGTGAAACACAAGGGCTCCCTTGGTGTAGCACTGGGGGAACATTCCTGCATACTGAAGGCCAGGCTTACAGAGTACTTCAAATTCATCACGGCATTGCACCCACACTTGGTATGTCAGAGCACAAAGATACTGGCTATTAACCCCTAAAATAATTCAAGGGTTCACTGCTCTCAACACTCACTCGCCAGAAGATTCTCAGAAGCTGGAGAAGACTTTGGAGACCCAACGTCTACTCAGCACAACATCCTCATGGTCAACCACCTTTCCCCAAACTCCCCTAGTGTACAGAGAGGGACCTGGTTCTGCCGGTGCACACTGAGCTGAAATCTACCTTCCTGAAACCTTCACTTCTTGGTCCTGATTCTGCCCTTTGAGTAACACAGAACATGTGAGTCCTTCAAGAACCAAAATACAAGCATTAACCTAAATTTGCTTTTCTAACAGCCCAAAATACCTTGGAGAAAGGATATGTACTAACCAGCGCCATCTGGAAGTACCTGATTCCCCTCACCTCCTTATTCATCAAATCAGAGGCAATGAAATTGCTATCAAAACCTCATCCTCACATGGAGACATGATGGTTTAGACTGTGGGCTCTGGTGGTGGATGGTCCAGGTTCAGTTCCTGGCTTTGCCAATTACAAACTATATGGCCTGAGGTCAGTTACTTAACCACCCTAGACTGCAGTTTCTTCATCTGTTAAATGGGCTGACAACAGCAGTCAACCCCTAAGATTGTTGTAAGGATTAAATGAGCTGATATAGCTAAACCTGTCAATACCTGCCCAATACATGCCAAGTACTCAACAAATGGTAGCTATTGTCAAAGCAGTTTCCACTCTGCAGACACTTACTTCTACAAGCATTATTTTATTTGATCCCCACTACAACCTTACATGAAACCTGTTGTATGGATGAGGACAGTGAGACTCAAAGGGGTGATGTAACTTTCTTGAGGTCGCAGATAGGGAGTGACTCAGCTTGGGTGAGAAGTTAATTTTGCTGATGTCTACCCCAGTATTCTTCGCATTGTACCATGTGGGCTCTCACAGCAAATGTAACTCCAAGTCAAAGACTCAAAGCAAACCACTGACAAATAAATATCAGTCTACATACAGCTTGGTCTCTGGGGCAGAATCTTCCTGGATGCTACAGGCTAGGATCTGATGAAGACATCTGGCCAGAAGATATGGATTTCAGTTCATTTCCAAGATCAGTAGAACTCAGCAAACATTGCTGAGCAAATGTAAACTGCTGTGGTGGTAAAGACCAGTGGACCTGTCTTATCACCTAACAAATAGGTAGACTGGCACAGCAGTTGCCAGTTCCCTACCAGGACTCTCAGAGATTAGGTAATTGTGGTTATTAATTATTCCACTTGTCAAAGAGTAATAGCTTTGTGCTTGATAAGAATATATTACCTGCACTTTGTCTCCAACTCCATAAACCATATGGGATTACATGCAGGTTTGAGGATTAAGAATCTCTAAGAGTCCTGGGAGTGGGTGGAGGGAGGGAAGGGACGATAGAAAGCTTTGCAAAAACGTACCAGAGGAATTAGTCCAAGAAAAAGATGTTTAGTTGTAATTCCCTGACTATTTCCTCATGTTTAAACCATTTCTATTTGATAATACCCATTTCTCCCCTCACAGGAAGCTGATCCTTCTCTCATTCAACAACTTAAATAAGTCTTTGCAATAATGATACAAGCAACCATAAAGTATTTTTGAACTTTGAAAACTAGAGCTTGGTGTTTGCTGAGTGCAAAACAGTACAACACAGTAGTGACGCTATAATGGCGTCTCAAAATGGTAAGTAACCAGATCGGGTACAAAGTCGTTTCCTGTGTATCTTGAATTCTGGTACTTGAAGAAGAAAAGCTGGTCCCTGTAGCGAGGCTGTAATGAAAAGGCCGTAGCGAGTCATGGAAGGGGCCTTCTAAGCTGCTCAAGAGCGCTGAGGGTTGTCCAGATGCCCAGATGTCAAATGCCCTGAAACCTGGGGAATTTTGTTTTCTGGCGTTTGGCTTATCTTAGACTTACCAGTCATAATGTGGGTTGTTTCAGTGTTTTAAGGTTGTTTGATCAGTTGTTTGAGGCTCACAAAAGAAGGAGGAGGAGGAGAAGAAGGTATATACAGTTGGGAAAGAAAGAGGAAAAGGGAAATATTTAAGGAAGCAGAAGGCACTAGGATCATCCTCATGGCCATCATCACAAGGGGGAGGAAAGCTCTTGGTGGAGAATGGTGTCCAGCCCGCCAGCTCTCTGTGCCAGCCCCAGCTCCGCGGGAGCGCCACCAGCCCAAGCAGCCTCCTGCTTGCCCAGGCAGGAGGTGGAAGGGGAAGGGCGGGCAGTGAGGTCTGGGGTGGCGGGGAAGGGGAGTTTGAGGGAGACGTAGTACAGGACGTTCTTAAATTGGGCGATAACCTAAGAAAGTCTGTAGATTTAAAACTTTCTAATATCTTCTATTCTGTTAAAAAAAAAAAAAGGACTAAAATGTATTTTCTGAGATTATTAGGTTAACACCAGGACTATCCCTCTTTAGAGTATTAATACAACATTAGCACAACACTTTAAGCTTGTTGTATGATGCTTGGCCTAAAACAGCACAGTCATTCAGAAGAGGAAGACACTGTGCTGTGGGGGCCCTCTGCTGCCAGCCTTCCATTCCTCCGCGCTTTGCGGGAGGCCTGGCTCACAGTTGCTCCCACGGATCAATCAGCCTGGACTCATTTGCACACTGGGTGAAGGGAATGAAGTGTGAGGCTGGAAAGCAAAGGGGCAGCGGAGAACTACTGCTCTGCATGCAAAAGGCAGACAAAAGTTTTTAGACCACTGGCATTTCCATCTGCCTTTGCCACTTACCCAGGAAAGCAAAGGGCTGGCTTTTATCACATAGTTATTTTGATCGACTGGGGGCACAGACTTACCCTGTTGAGAAAGCAACGTGCCAGAAGTTGAGGATTTTCAGTGCACTTTTCCAATTCTTTTAGGAAAGTCCTAGGGAAATAGCAGTATAATAGTACTTTGATTTTTACATGTATAGGGTTAAATTTTTTTTTTTAAAGTAGAATCACATAAGCTTTTAAGAAATGTCTAGAAAAATGTTGTCCAGCCTTTATTGCTCTTGACTCATCTTCAAAACATTGATTTGGAAGAAAAAATGTGTTCTGTGGCATTACTAGGATTACTCTGAAACCAACCACTAGCCAGAGACAGACTGGATACACTAATGCTCCCCACTACACGATAGTAACGTTAATAAGGACTCCTGCGCTGCCGCTGTTACCAAAGATCGTTGAGAGCTTACTATGTGCCAAGCACAAGCAACGTGCTTTACAAACAATATCTCATTTAATCCTCCACCAAACCACGCCAGGTAGGGTTTTATACATGTGGGACCCTGAATAGCTTCTCCAGAGACATACAGCTTGAAAGCAGCAGAAATGGGGTTTCCATTTCAATTTTGTCACAATGGACAGGACACGGGTCTAGGAAACAACTGTGGGTCCGTTCACCAAGTAGCCTGCCCCGCCATTAATGAGGCATGTGACCTTGGGGTCATCACAGGGAGCAAAGTGAATGAGCAAGTTGTCGTTTCTTCATTAGTTATACTAATTCTCTATACTCATTCTCTAGAACTCAGCACTCAAGTAGTCCTGGGTTAAAAGGACAACTTGTTTGACGAGTTAACACTTTCTAACACCCTAGTTTCCAGCATTACCCAATGATAACAGGCAAGGGAACCTGTGTCTAGGTCATCTTCAGATTCCCAGTGCAGAACACAGTGCTCAATTGTTGGTTCAACTGAAGGTATGAACCAATGAATGCACAAAGGAATACACAAACGAATACCTCATGAACGTCTGAAGCTCCACTGATGTCTTTTCCTTTCTTCCTCAGCCATCCTGTGATGCTTCTCCCTTCCTTCTCAGCCCTACCCTAATTCAACCCAATCTGCTGACTCTGGACCACTTGCTTCTGCCTGGTATGGTCCAAGCACTTTCTTCTCCAAATTCCATCAGCCTGATTTCTACCTTTCTCTTCCCTACTTCCCATTTTCCCTGATAATCTGGATTATTATATACCTGTTGTGAAATTCATAAATTTCTCTAATATTCCCAAAGAGGAAGTCCTTGTTGTTTTGAAGAACATCTGGAATCAGATGCTTCAGCCAAATAAAATCCATTGGCACGATATATCCCTGCAGAGGTGAAAATAAGGCAGGTTTTACAGATAGGAATATATGAGAGATGATCTGAATTAGCTACTCCAGGAGCCAGAATTTTAATGAAATAGTTGGGGAATATAGCACATGTTTCCTGAACGTCATTCTATCAGATACTTTCTTTTGATATAATTTTCCTTGTATTTCTGTCTTCAGAAGGAGATGGTTTAATGGCAATGATAATAAAAGGAATTTTTATAAGAAAAACAATTATATTTTTAAAATATTTATAATGTGTACATAAGTTAAGTGTGAAAGAAAGGAAAAAACATAGCCAACTGTATGACCTGGTAATATTACCATTCTATTTTATTATATCTCCTTAATGGCTTTTAAAAAACTTATTTTCTGTGGTTGTTATCACAGCACATATATAATTTTGTATTCTATTTTTCCATATATATTTTAGGCTCAACTAATAAATTTTGACATATATTCTTTTGAATTTAAGCATTTTTATACCATAAGCATTTTCAATGCTGCTATGTATTATTCAAAATAATTATTTTTATAGTTGAATGATATTTCATTCAGCATGTAATTATTTAACCATTCCCATTATTATTGGATATTTGAGTCATTTCTGATATTTTGCTGTAAAAAAAACTATAATAAATAACTTTAAGCATATACATATAGTTTTTTCTTTAAGATTATCCCCTTAAGAAAATAGGGAAATACACATTTTTATCCTTAAGCAAAAAAAAATGTTACTTAAAACAATGAGAAATAATCCTCCCTTATTAAATTATCCAAAACATTTAAGTTATATAGTCATTGTTGTGGAGGGTGTGGTGAATTCAGCTGGGTGTTGCTGGAATCAGTATGAATGGGAACGATCCTTCAGAAACGATTTGGTTACAGGGGTCAAGAGCCATAAGGACATTCATACTACTGTTGGAGAGACAACTGTATCATCACAAGACCTGAAATCTTAGTGGGAATTTCAGAGGTATATGGCAACTATGGAGCCCTGGTGGCACAGTGGTTAAGTGTTCAGCTGCTAACCAAAAGGTCAGCAGTTCAAATCCACCAGCAGCTCCCTGGAAGCCCTAGGGGGCAGTTCTACTCTGTCCTATGGGGTTGCTGTGAGTCGGAATAGACTTGACGGCAACAGGTTTTATGGCAACTATAGGAGTTTCTTTGTGTGACAAAACTTCTCCAGTTTGAATATTTTCTTAACCCACTCCCGCATCTACTTACATCAATTATGCTCTTTATTTCTTTTATGTAAATTTCTTCAGTCTCAAGCAAGTCCCGTATAATGCGCCTGAATCACAGCAGCAGGTGGGAGAGAGAGGGGGGAAGGGGTGGCAGAGACAGGGGTGGGAGGAAGAGAAAGAGGGCTTGTTCAGAATTCTTTTTGAATAATGCTCATTGATATCGTTCCCCCTAGTAGCTCATCTACTTAGGTTCGGGCCATCCTGCTCTACTGAATACCCAAGGCATGTCCACACACGCTGGTGTCAAGAAGAAATGGTAAGGACAGAGGACTCAAAACCCACTTGTGCAGCCAGTTAATGAATCTGGGTGGACCATGGAGCCTAGAGGTCAAGAGCACAGACTTGGGAGTTGGAAATATTAGGCCTGAATCCTTGGTAGGAAGGTCTTCTGACTTCTCTACTGTACATGTGGATTCCTAGAGCTTCTCATTACCCTTCTATTGTTTCATTGCTCACTTCAAGATCTTTGACCCCCCTGGATGTATTTTGCTGTACCCGGGGTTAGATGGATGTCAGGCATGGCCCCTGCCCTTGGCATTGGATGTTTCAGTGTGACTGCTTTTCTTAAGCCAAAAGACTTCAGTTCCTTCTGCTTCCTATTAGGAAGGGAGGCAGGTGGAGGGTGTGGTCGTCAGAATTCTAAGATGGCCCCCAAGATTCCTGGCCCCTGGAATACACATACCTTCTCCTAGTGAGCCAATCAAACACTAATTTAGGCACTGCAGTGAAGGTCCCAAATCAGTTAACCTAAAGATGGGCAGATTATTCTGGGTGGGCCTGTCCTAATCACATGAACTCTTTAAATCTGGGTCTAGAGGTCAGAGACGAGAAGTCAGCCATATCTGAAGCAAGAGAAGAATTCACATGAGGGGGATCCTCCTTTGCTGTCTTTGGAGATGGAGGGGACCATACAGCAAGGGATGTGGGTGGCCTCTAGGAGCTGTGAGAGGTGCCTGGCTGATAGACAGCTAGGACACAAAGATGTCAGTCCTACAATCACAAGAAATTGAATTCTGCCAGACGAGCTGGAAGAGGTTCCTGACTCTAGACAACTGAGTCAGTCAACACCTTGACTTTGGTTTTGTGGGTGCTGAACAGGGAACTCAGTCATACTGTGCCTGAACTCCTGCCCCAGGGAAACTGTGAACTAACAAATGGTGTTCTTTCAAGCTGCTAAGTGTGCGGTAATTTGTTATTCAGCAACAGAAAATTAGTGCAGAGAGTGGGGCCAGCCCCTACAGCTATCTCCAAACTGTTTTCTTTCTCTCATCAGGCTGTGTGGCCACACTCAGGCTTCCTTTTAGGGCTCTGAGTGAATAAGTGCTTGTACAAGTGTTCACACATGGAATACATACATTTATGGATTCCTGTGATCTGCTGGCTAGTTAGCTACTAAAGCATTAGCCTATCTATCCCAGTAAAGGGTTTCTTTTCTTCTCAAAAAAAGGGATACGTCAAAGGGCAAACAATCCAACAGAGAAAAAAATGTGCAAAGGACACGAACAGGAAATTCACATAAATATACAAATGGCCATTAATCTTATGGAAAAAAAAAAGTTCCACTATACACATAATTCCACAAAGGCGTATTAAAAGAGAGTGACGCTTTTCATCTACTAGAACGGCAGCAATGTCAAACCTCGATGGAAGACTGATGCGTGAGGGTGTGGAAACACTCTTAATTAAACATTGGTGGACGTGTACATTTGTGTGTGCTCTTTGGAGGCTAATGTGAAAATATGTCAACAAAATTTAAAATATAGTACTCTTGCACTCAGTAATTTCATTTCTGGGAATGTTCACTGTTTGTGATTAGAACAATAGAACTTCAACAACAACCAGATAGAAATTGGGAATTACTTAAATGTTCATCAATAAATAATGGACATACATATAATGAAATATCATGCAGCTGTTAAAAAGAATGAGGTTGATTAATTCATGCTGATATGACCAAGTTCACGTATCTTAAGTGCAAAAAAAAAGAAGCCAGATGCAGAAGTATGCGAAGTCTATTTGTGTCTGTGTGGGGGGAAAAAAAAAAATGAAACCCATGCCATTGAGTCGATTCCGACTCCTAGCAACCCCATAAGATTTCTGATAATATAAATCTCTACTGAAGCAGATTGCCACCTCTTTCTCCCACAGAGCCACTGGTGGTTTTGAATGGCCAGTCTTTTGGTTAACAGTCGATCGCTTTAACCACTGCACCACTAGGGCTCCTTATATTTATGGAAAATCGTATATGGTTAGAAAACGTATGGAAAGAAACTTCAGATGTTGCTAACAGTGATGGGTTTTGGAGAGTGGTACTAAATGCTAGAAATAAGGTAGGAAAATTTCTAGAGTTTACTCTAGACCCTTCTCCAATACTTTTTTTTTTAAACATTTACTGCTTCTAGAATGTAAAAAAATGGTTTACAAGACATTTTAAAATGAATGTTACTGGAGGTAATGACATATAAATCCTATTTGAGAGATAGAAATAAATTATACAACTTACATATTTTATAGCACAATAATTAGTCATTCTTAAAATAATAATTTTTCTGTTGTTGTTAGGTGCTGTCGAGTCAGTTCCGACTCACAGCTGCCCCATGTACAACAGAATGAAACCCTGCCCGGTCCTGCGCCATCCTCACAATCGTTGTCATGCTGGAGCCCACTGTTGCAGCCACTGTGTCAATCCGTCACACTGAGGGTCTTCCTCTTTTTCGCTGACCCTTTACTTTACCAAGCATGATGTCCTTCTCTAGGGACTAGTCCCTCCTGATAACATGTCCAAAGTATGTGTGATGAAGTCTCACCATCCTTTCTTCTAAGGAGCATTCTGGCTGTACTTCTTCCAAGATAGATTTGTTCATTCTTCTGGCAGTCCATGGTATATTCAATATTCTTTACCAACACCACAGTTCAAAGGCATCGATTCTTCTTCGGTTTTCCTTATTCATTGTCCAGGTTTCCCGCGCATATGAGGCAACTGAAAACATGACGGCTTGGGTCAGGCGCGCCTTAGTCTTCAAGGTGATATCTTTGCTTTTTAACACTTTAAAAAGATTTTCTATATATTCATAAATTCTTGCTATAAGACAAGACTGATAATAGACAGGATACAATATCAAGAAGTATACAAACTGTATATAAAAAGTTGCTCTAAGTACACACTTCACTAACAGTTACTGAGCAAGAGATTCCTTTGTTTTTAATAAATTATCCTGAAATGAAGACAGTTGTTACATCAGAAGGAAATGCAGGCCTTGACACTGATCTTTTACAAGCCACGATTTCATATAGGTCCATAGTAACAGTTAAGCATTCACAGACAACCAGAGTACAGTCAGCCTCTTATGTCCTTAGGAAGCACCGGGCTTCACCAGCCTGGCAAGTCTACCTCAGGATATATTGACTATTGAATGATGTTAGAAGGCAGAAATAACTAGGTGGTGGGCAGAAATAAATCTTACTATCCAGCAGGTATGTAGGAACTTGAGAGTCTTAGGAGCTTTGGGGGATCTGACTCATGAAAATATTCATAATTTAGAAGAGGAAAAAAAGCCCTCGACAGCCCAAGTTCCAGGTTATGGTTTGGAAAATAGTCTAGCAACATCATGCAACTTCCTCATTTTCCCAGTTGGAGTGCCATGAATAAAACTGCAGTGACAGGAATTCCCCTAAACACGGAGAGTTGACATTTCAGTTCAGCTTTAAAAAAGAATCGCTCTCACACAGCCTTTTTCCTTTCCTCTCCTTTTTTTCCCCTTTCCAATAAATTTATATAAAAGGAGATCATTTATGACTCAAGCTGATGTTTGCCTGCTTTGTCATTCCAAAGCACGTAACTTTCTTTGTAGGAAACACTCTCAAGAATTTCCCACCTGAAGTCATCAAGTATAAATGCTGCAGATACAGAACAGAAAGCACAAGAGTCCTTGAGTGATTTAAAAACCTTTAAAGACCAGCCAAAAAGCATTAGGTTCATTTACCAAACACCTGTTGAATCCCTCCTTTGAGCCAGGTCCTTGGGACAGAGAAACGCTCTCCAGTCCAGCCCTCAGTAAACTCGCAGTCTAACGGAAGACGTGAAAAGCAGTGACTCTTACTGCAGCATGGTCACGAGCGTGGTCAGGCTAATACAGCAGGGTCGGTGCACGGGGGGTGCGGGGGGCACGTAATTAAGCTGCGGGTTGGGGAGAGATTGCCAGTATTGAGTGAAGTTTAAGCACAGTTTTGACAAAAGTGAGTGAGGGGAAATGAAGCGGGAGTGAGTCCCAGGTGCTGAAATAACACGGAGGAGGGAGCAGAGGCAATACATGTACAGTGTACCTGTGCCTTAGTAAGGTTCTCTGGAGAAGCTGGATCAGGAAGACGTGTGTGTGTGTGTGTGTATGTGTGTGTGTGTATTATACATTTATGTGTGTGTGTATATATATTACACATTTACATATGTGTGTGTGTATATATATTATACATTTATATGTGTATGTGTATATATTATACATTTATATGTGTGTGTATATTATACATTTATGTGTGTGTGTATATATTATACATTTATATGTGTGTGTATATATTATACATTTGTATGTGTGTGTGTGTATATTATACATTTATATGTGTGTGTGTGTATATTATACATTTATGTGTGTGTGTATATATTATACATTTATATGTGTGTGTGTATATATTATACATTTATATGTGTGTGTATATATTATACATTTATATGTGTGTGTATATATATTATACATTTATATGTGTGGGTGTATATATATCATACATTTATATATGTGTGTGTGTATATATATCATACATTTATATGTGTGTGTGTATATATATTTACATTTATGTGTGTGTGTGTATATATATTATACACTTATATGTGTGTATATCTATTACACATTTATATGTGTGTGTGTGTGTATTATACATTTATATATACGTGTGTGTGTATATTATACATTTATATGTGTGTGTGTGTGTGTGTGTGTGTACCTTCACCATCCAATCAATTCTGACTCATAGCAACCACATACGACAGAGTAGAACT